AGATTCAGAGATTTTGACTTGTACGTCATGTCTTTCCGTCAAAACTTCCATTTTTGGTTTCTTGGTAAAGAGTAGCTTCTCAATGTATAATGAGAATTTGCTGTTCGGCACAGAAGCACCTTTTAATTTTTTTCGATTTTCGCAAGGAGGACACTAACACAATTTTGAAGCGGTTGCTACGGGGGCTCTAAAGGCTGTTCTAACATATCAGTCACAGCCTCTGAAAGAGCTAGATCTAAGGCTCTAGCTTTAGGCTAGTCTAAGTCCTATAGATCTAGTAGTCTAGGCCTAGAGTCATAGCTCAGGCATAGGCCCGTAAAAATGTAAAGAAATAAAGCTTACAGCATGTTCTATTTAAGTGAATTTGACTCATGTTATACATGTTCCGGGCCTATGCCTAGTATAGTCCCGCAGGACGAAGAAGATAGAATGTAAAAATCAAATTGAAAATCAAAATAATCGAACGAAAAAAAATTGAAAAAGTTGAAAATTCGATTTCGATTCAATTTGATTTTCTGCCATTATAAATGAAATACTGTACTTACCAACATGTTTCTCGGATATATATGTTGTTCTTACTTTATCTTCGCCGAAGATCGATGTTTATTTATATATAACAATCGAATAATCGACATAATTCAAACTCATCACTACGACACAAAAATATATCACTTTCGAAACCATGTAAACTGCTAAGATGACGTCATTTATATCCGGGATTGCTTTGCAAACTCCACACAACACAGCAGGAGACTGTCCCATCTTTTCTCCTGCTTTCTCCCGATGCAATTCATACATTACTCGGAGATTACTGTCAAACGTTCCAAGTTTTACAATTTTAGCATGTTTATTACGATCTAATTCCTGCCAGTATCAATGAATAAATCTATTGACCAACAGATTGGAAATATGTATTCCAGCGATACCCTCATTTTGACGAAAGAATGGTACAAATATGTCCACTATTTATCGAGATATCGTGTAGAAAAATTGAAGAAAGACATCGCTTAAGAAATTTATATTTCTAGACTGAACTGTTCACGCTCGCAAGTGGCATCTCCAACTCCATATATGGGCAAAAAGGTGGAGTTAACAATAAGCAATGCAGGGACTGACACGATTGACACGAAGAAGTCTCGATGAATCTCGCTTAAACTCCGCCCCTTCTTCGTGAAAAATCACGTGAATTCCGGCTTTTGCTGGGACATATCCGGGCATCTCGGCTTCGAACCCAATCAGAAGTTTCAATTTTGACTGGCGCCGCATACATTATCTCAAGTCTCACCCAATATTTTTATGTATACGTTAAAAAGTTGTTTTTGGAGCATTTCTCTATAGCCATTTTGTAGGGAAAAAATTAAGTTATGGCATCAACTGCGAAACTTTTTTAACCACCTAAGTATATACCTTATTAGATGCATTGAAGGAGTTAAATCATTGGGATATGAATAAATCATGCAAAACATATTTTGTACATATTTCTCATCATTTAGGGTTACCCAGTAGTTTACAAGCTGACCTTTGCAAATATATTTCACTTACTATCCTCATTCGCTATCACGCTATCTAGTTTCTTTCCAAATTGACCTGGATTGCCTGGTTTATTGGTTTTAGCGAACCGTCCATTTCGTCGAACGATCATTTTGCTAAGGTTGTTTGTGATGAATATACAATATTCAGTTACATATAACTGTACAGTAACTTTATGCAAGGGAAGGTAATTGTGTGAGAGCACATAAAGTACATGAAGTATTGACCCACTTGTCTCAGTGAATCTTATAAACAGTGCATAAAGTTTTTTCTATGCAATGATTGGCTCACAGTTACTTATAGTGTAAGTTATTTTATTTCTATAAAGTGTGGAATAGAGTGTATAAACTTTTACAGTTTCAAGCAGGTTTTAGTGTTTTCTGACCAATGATATATTCAGACTTATTCATTTCACGATTATGTAATACTGACCTACATATCTGTATAGCATATCTTTAAGGCTGCTGGTGTTTTGTTGCAGAACATATTTTAAAAAATTACTTTGATTCCAAGCAAGCGTTGGTGTGACTGATTACTCATTTTGTTCTAACATCGGTTCAATTTTGCATATTTTTGAAGAAAAGATAACAATTTCTAGAGTACACAATAATATAATCTTAAGTGAAATTCATCATTCATGTCATTTTCAAATACTATCGGATTTTGGGTTTGGCATGTGATTTATTTCTCATTTAATTGATTTTAAATAAACGCGCTAGATTTGAAATTCCTCATTTTATTCATCTATGATTTAAGGAATACATCTACATAGTGTCCATTTTGATTCAATAATCAATATAGATTTTGCACATAATCATATAGGATTTAGTGCACCCTCCATTATGATCTCCCCATGAACAAAAATAAATTCATCTGATATATACTCCTCAAAAAAAGTTAAGGACCTCATAGGTTTACATGTTAACCCCCATATTTGTTTAACGACTGTTTTCTAAGCGGGGAACAAAAGAAATCCCAATAAAGAAAATAAATCTGTATCTTGATTATATTCCCTATAAAGTCCGCAACGTTTCAGTGTTATATCTCCATTACATTGGGTCAAAATTTGATGTCAAAATTGATGAATTTCATGAAATGTAACAAAAATGGCAGATCCCATGTTAAACAAATGGGGAATGGTGGCTTAGGGGCAACTCAGATTTTGGAATATCTATTCAGCAAAACATTTATTAAAAATACTTCCTAAGTAGAAAATGGAATGATTTTACATTTTACATGCTAAATGTCTCGCTTATGTTGTTAAAATTAGCGATACGGAGCGTTAAAGTAATTTTGACCACCTCACTGAACCACCTGTGTTATTTCAATAAGAGGTTCATTAAAAAATTATTGAATTTGAAACCATTAACTTTTGTAAAGCCTGGACAATTAAATCATATTTTTGTCGAGTAGACAATTTAGCAAATTTAATTATCTCTTACAATCTCAATCTCAATTTTGAGAGCAATCGGATGGATGGATCGTTCCTCATATGACTTATGGCAACCCAACCATTCCCCATTTGTTTAACATGGGATCTGCCATTTTTGTTAAATTTCATGAAATTCATCAATTTTGACATCAAATTTTGACCCAATGTAATGGAGATATAACATTGAAACGTTGCGGACTTTATAGTGAATAGAATCAAGATACAGATTTATTTTCTTTATTAGGATTTCTTTTGTTCCCCGCTTAGAAAACAGTCGTTAAACAAATATGGGGGTTAACATGTAAACCTATGAGGTCCTTAACTTTTTTGAGGAGTATGTAATCATGGGATTTCAACTAGAGCCCATGATATAATGTAGATGGTTTATAGCGAGTATATTGTTTTATTTTATCGTTACAACTTGCTGTGAAAATACAAATATAATGTAGATGGTTTATAGCGAGTATATTGTTTTATTTTATCGTTACAACTTGCTGTGAAAATACAAATATAATGTAGATGGTTTATAGCGAGTATATTGTTTTATTTTATCGTTACAACTTGCTGTGAAAATACAAATATATTGTCGATGGTTTATAGCGAGTATATTGTTTTATTTTATCGTTACAACTTGCTGTGAAGTATTTCATTGTAATATGTATGTAATGATAATCCGGAACTCTGAATCTGAATTCTGAAAATGTGTCTCATTAGAGAGGCTTCGGTATAGGTTTTCAGCCGAACGTACTATAACTTCAACTTTTAAAAGACGTACCCCCCACTGGGGAGGAACATTTCTCGAAGAAACAAGGAAAAGTACTTTCCCTCGTTTCCTAATCGAGGGAATTCTTACAATGAGCGTAATAAGAGTATTTTGCAATCCCCATGCATATAACATGGTGCTATTGCATGAGTCTTTCACATGATTGAGAATGCTCTCACAACAGTGGATGTTTTCAAAAGTATCAAATAACTCTGAACTAATTCAATTCTTCTATGATAATATTTGTTTTATTGACTAAATTGAAATCTTATATTCATCTGTTGAGAATGAGGCTTATTTTGTTATAATAAGGTTATAGGTGAGAGAGATAATTAAGAGAATCAGATTATATTGAACATTTTTCATATCCCCTGGCCTTTTTCATTCAAACAAAATATGGAAATAGAAATAGTTACACTCATAGCTTGAAAAGGTTTATTAACTACCCTTTTTGTGACAGCAAAATGTGTGATGGTTTTGACTGCACTATCAAAATAGTTTTAACTTTTTATGATGTGACTACATGTACACGTATGTCTCTATGTGTTGACATGATTACTATTTATCTGATAACATTGTCATATGCATCTATTATTACAATATAGTTTACAATTTTAATTGCAATATCAATGAGGCCATATCAATGAACATATGTTTGAATTTTTGATGTTATAGACTTGAGTTTTTTGACCCTGAAAAGGTCATTGAAGGTGAAATCTCAAATCTAAAGTCAGATTTGAACTTCTGAGAACTTAAAGATGATTTTGAAAAAAATATTGGTCAATTTGAAGCAAGTTGGAAAATACCTTTTTGACCCTGAGAAGGTCATTGAAGGTCAAATCTTTTTGACCTTGAAAATGTAATTGAAGGTCAAATCTATATTCAGATTTGAACTTTTGAGAACTTACCTTTTTAAACCTTTTTTTACCTTGAAAAGGTGATCGAAGGTCAAATCTTAATTCTAGAGTCAGATTTGAACTTCTGAAAACTTGTAGATGATTTTGAAAAAAAATTGGTCAATTTGAAGCAAGCTGAAAAAAGACCCTTTTTAACCCTTTTTTACCTTGAAAGGTCATCGAAGGTCAAATCTTAATTCTAGAGTCAGATTTGAACTTCTGAAAACTTGATTTTGAAAAATATGAAGTTTAGACTCACGTCTAAACAGTATTTGTCAAGTTATTGGAAGTTGTAAGAAATTGTTACAGACGCTGATCGCCAACTGCCATCTGCCAATCGCCGTCACAAAAAAATGGAGACCATAACAACATGTCACCACTTTTTGGTGGTGACATAACAAAAGTTCTGCTACATAATCTTTTCCAGAAATGATTTTATCAAAATGAATGCTTGACACATTATTAAATGCCATGATTATTAATGTTACTTCATTGATATGACATGTAATTTAAAGGTGTATCATCCATACTTAGTACATGTACTTCGATACACATCCACATATCATTTTTGAAAAACTATGTTGTTAGTAAAACATAGTCATCAAATTCATGTTTATGTTTTTAATCATATCACCATGACATCAATATGGACATTCAGTCATCCATTTCCCTCAATCATAATTTATTGATATTTTACTTGAATATAAAATGATACACATGAAAATCTTTTCTGAGGGCATACACATCAAATGCGTTACATTATGTAATATTATTCATAAATTATCATTGATTTAGATTTCAAAAACAACCCTCACTCTCTTCAGCCACTTGAACTGAGTCAACGAGTTAATGTTCTCACAAATGTGTTTTTCGGAAGTCATGGCAATTATTTGAAGAATAAGTAGAATTGTGAAAATTCAACTCAAACTTGTCATCTGATTGCTGACTTCAAGAATCTCAGTCAGACAGATTCACGTACAACCATTATCCACAGATGACGTATCGGTAATTGGTAATCACTTCATTGCCAAATCGGCGACCAACAATTATTGAAATTTCATTGATCTTACTCTGCAGTCATGGTCATAGAGCTAGTTCAGATTCACTTGTATGCTAAGCATGTGGGCAATACATTAAATAAATGTTTTTACATTCAAACTTAAGCTTGATGAAAGAATAGACTACATGTCCATAATTTAAGGTAGCCCATTGAGTTCACAATGACATCCCTGGTATAGAAGGTTCAACCTTGAGCTTATTTAGGGAAACGTCTTAGTTCATGCGCAAACCATGCAGCAAGAGTGAGCAGAACCAAGGATCCAGACTGGTGGGTAGCAGCTACATGAGTATGAACATACGATAGTAGAGTCCAAACACCAAGGCCAGCCTGCAAGTGAGAATGTAGACAAAACATTTAAGAAATACTTGCATTGGCATAATTTTAATTCATTTTAAAACAATTCCATTTTTCCAACACCACTATCATAAAATGATACCACTTTTCAGTTTAAATTAAGGCCAACTGCTGACCAAAGAAACAATGCATTAACATGACACAATGTCATTCATTTCACATAATCATTGATGAATCTTCAAATATTTATGCAAACAATCCATCTATTAATGACTGATTGATGGAAAATATGACTTATTGACTCAGCAGTCACTTATGCATTCTGCCGTCCATTAAATGTCATCATTAGTTAGATTTACACAAGACCACTAAGACGTCTTGAATAAAATGTTGCAGAGTTAAATAGTTTTACAATTGTAAAGTAAATCCACATTTTCTTAATAGGTCTCAGCTAAGACCGCTCGGCTAAAACATTTTAGGACCCTAGTCATAACAAGACATCTTAGCATTAAAACTTTTTACAAAGCGAGTGTAAATCCATCGGTTTAGCTACATGTAAGCGCTCTCAGCCAGGTTTTATGCATTGGGCTGAACGAAACTTCCTGTTTATGTGTTAACATGTGCATATACAGTATGGACTTTTCTTTTTTCGCATCCATTGTTCCAAATATTGTCATAATAAAAATATCAAGAAGAACCATCATCATCTTCCCTAGAGTTCTTCCATATTATTATATATGCTCCAAATCATGTCAGTCTCTTTCGTGCTTTTAACAATGCTCTCTTTAAGATACATTTATGTGAACCCGAAGTATAAAGTGGGAGTGGAATACCATGAATCGTCCTTCAGCCAATAATAAACTGATGTACTTGTATTTTCATTTTTCAATGAGACCGATATATCTCTAAGATGCCTTAGAAATACAGGTGTAAACTCGATTATATTTTGTAAGATGTCTTGAAAATGGTAAAGTAAGCTCTAAAATGTTTTACCCAAGACGTCTTGGAATGCTGGGTGTAGTGTAAATTAGGCTGTTGAGACAAAGGCCATGTGCATCTCTATATGCTAGGTCTCATAATCAAATAAGGGAAAATGTTATTTGACTCTAACCTATTCTCATTTTAATTTCATTTGAGTTACAATTGTTATTATTCAGTTAAGGCAAGTTATTTTCTGGAGTGGAAAGCATTGTTTCAGCATGTATCGACACCTATTTTGATTCAGCCCTCTGACATTACTATTTCATGATTTTAAATGAATTTTGACAAGAAGACTTGAAATTCTGACAATCCTGACATATCTGTCTAATAAAACTGTTAATGGTATTCTTCATACCTGTGCAAGGGCCATGGCACCAAGGGCAATACCAGCCTTTCTGGCCCTTGGAGGGAGGGGTGCTCTAAGAGAATAGCCTGCCAGACATAGTAGAGAAAATACTGTAAACTCAGCCTGGAAAACACCATAGCCATACTTACATTTAATGATACAATACAGGAAAACATGATTTAAAACAATGCAATGTTGTAATAATAAACCCTTTTTAAAAAAGGTCCATGTAAAATCAAAAAATGTTTTAAAGGTCCCATATGAAGTTCAAATGTTACACAAGGCATTTAACCGACACTTATGCACATGTAATATCCCCCTCCCAAATCATTAGAATCTGAAAGCCATTTAGTCAAAGTTTAGCTCTACTTACAAGGTGTCTATGGTTAAACTGAACTGTTGTTGGATTTTCAAATACATTTTTCCACTTAGGTGTGAATGCAGCGATGTCATCAGGAATCCATTTATCTGCCATCTTTGGCCAGCTGTTGTAAACCAGTCCTGCATCTAGCCCAGCTACAAATGCACCTGCCAAACAAAAAATAAAAATGCATCAACATGAAAAAAATGTCAGATCTTTAATACAACACTAACATGCAAAATTTCACCCCCTACCATTTGTTACAGATGCTGAATGCTGACCGTGAAAAATCAATTGCAGTCCACAAAATAAGTTAGAGACCATAATAATGTCACCACTTGTGGAAGAGGCATAAAAATGTAACCATTTATTACAGTTCCTATGCTAAATCCCTAATGCCATAACATCATATTGATGCTGTTCACAAAAATATGTGACATATGAGTATAAACATAGAAAATATATACATTTGCATGTTTAAGAGTCAGCCACTGCTAATCTTGCAACTGCTATAAAATTAGGGAAAGGAAGAAATACCTGATACTGCTGTGAGGAAAACCAATCCCATTGCCGGATGTGAGAGCCCCCTCAAAATCCTTATCTGTTTTGTGTTTGGCAACTAAAACAAATCACAATTCAACAGAATCAACACCATATACAAGTGCTGGACATATGGCCATATATAATGACGGGATACTGAGATCATACTGAGATACTGAGATCATAATAACATACAAAGTACCATATTTAAAGGCCCCATGAAATGTTAAAACCATGACTGTGGTTATAATGCTATAGTCTTACCCAATGTTATCAAAATGTGACATGTGAAACAAAAGGTTGATTTAGAATGACTTTCTGTAAGAAAATCTTATTTTAAATATTTTTTGTTTTCACACACATCTATTTTTATTCTATAACTCACACCAATGGATAGCGTACTTACTCATCTACAGTACTTTGCATTATCTATTAACTCACAGGCGCAGAAAAAGTGGTTCAGAGAAAAATACACTGGGAGATTTTAGTTCTCATTGAAACCAATGATGCAGAAATATTCAAATTCTTCATTTCATTTCCTACCTGATTTGGCTTGAGAACATGGGACATGCCACCCCAGAGAAAAAGAACATAAAGGAGGAATGCAGAGCCTAAGTGAGAGGCCAGTCTGTACTGGCTAACTCTGATATTATCACTCTGGGATGTTTTCTCTTCTAAGCCACTCTTTACCATGTACCAGCCTAGCAGACCCTAAAAAACATGTTTTATTTTTACTCAAAGCATTTCCATGGAGTGCACAAGTTTATTAGTAGTACTTAGCTCTTTCAACAATACATCTTAGCAGTGATATCATATGGACTATTCTTCAATGTAGTCAAATCATGAAAAGAGCTACCCAGAGACATGATGTAAACAGTGCATGTGTGACCCACCTGGCAAAGGAGAAGAGTTCCATAGACAGCAAGGCGAGGCTTCATAGCTTTAGAAATCCAGCCCTTTCTCAGGAAGTAAATAGCAGGTAGTGCAAACACCAGCCCTATTGTCCTTCCCCACATTCTATGGTAGTACTCCATGAACCATATCCACTTGAACTGGCTCAATGTCATCTCATTATGGCTCTCTGAACTACAATGTGACATGACAAAAAATGATTTTTTTCTGGGGTTTAAAGTATTACGATTCCGCTGCAAAAATGCATAAGTCACTGAGTTCTATCCTTTAAAATAATAACTAGAAAAACAGCATCCCATCTAAATCCCATCTAACAAAACATATTGTTAGTACCTCAGTTGAAATACTCAATTTTGATTGGTTGATTAGCGGTCAACAATATACAATTATTGACCTCTCCAGAGGTTTACTGTCAAAATTATATCCCGAGACTGTAAACCGAGACCTACGGTCTCGGTTTACAGTCGAGGGATATAATTTTGACAGTAAACCGAATGGAGAGGTCTATAATTGTTTTGTTAGTCCGAAGAGTATCTTAGATTTTTCTGACCCTTGAAGTTGACTTGAAGTTGGATCCAGACCCTCGAGACGTTCATGTTGTATTTCAGTATATCGGCAGTAAGTTCACTCAATGGAGTCAAATTACTCTCCTGGGCGAAGTCCACTAAAAGCTTTGTACAAAGTTTTAGATTTTTCTTCGTATTTTGACTGTCTTTACTCTCTAAGAGACTAATAATATCCTCATCTTCAACATTTTTGAAACGGGTAGTGCTAGCGGCGGCCATTTTATCGTCTGATAATGACGTCATTTTAGTGGAATGCTGGGAATATTATTCACCGGCAATGCATTGCGCGTCGTACAGTTAAAATTATTCACCGCTCGTTGACCAATCAAAATCGAGTATTTCAACTGAGGTACTAAGTACTGTTGACTGCTACTTTTGAAAAAAAAAATTCAATTTGAAAAAAAGTTAAATTTTGAAAAACAAAATTATGAAAAATATTTTTTTAAATATTTTTTAGAAGTGATATTCGACGGTTTGTGGATTTTTTGCAAAAATATGATATGTCTACTTATGAAAAATATTCACGTGATATTCGATGATGTTTCCTTCCAATTATAATATTCTTCGGACTAACAAAACAATTGTATATTTTATCATTAGCCTATGAACCAAATCAATCTAGTTTGAGTTATCACCATGCACACGAACAGACAAATGAACGTACGAACTGACAAATTGGCAGCCAGAAAAACTTCTCAATAATCATTTACTGAACTTCATTTGGTGGGGTGATAAGAGCACTAACCAACAAAGCTAACTTGTACATGTATTTCAGCAATACTGAAACACAGAAAATTGAACTTCTCAAAAGTGAACTGCAAGTCAACAATAAACAATGACACAAAAATACTTATGTTATGGTGCCCATATATGTGGCATATACTTACTATTTGAACTCAGGAAATTCTTGATATTTGAGAAATTCTGCCGCCCATTCCTCTTGTGTTAAAGGTGGTTTCATGCCTTTGATAAGATTCCAGTCAACCATAGAAAGACCAGACTCTGTTAACCTATGGGAAAAATATAATCAAATAACATACTGCGCTAAATCAGCATTATTACCACCTTGCCGGGCCAGTTCTAGGGGTTTTAATGCTAGTTTAGAAGGCGTTCATTTTACTACATCGACCTGAGCAATATGTGACGTCATAGTGGTGGTCAAGAATGCATTTCGGACTGGTCGAGAATGCATTTAACGACCGGCAATTTTCCCCAGGAAACTAGATATCACTGGGGGGTATCGTGATGCAACAACACCGTGTTGTTGCATCAAGATGGCCAGACTTCCGGTGATAGATTTTCGTACGATATTTTGTTTTCCCAATTTAAACCCATTTCTAGGACGAGTTGCTCAATAATCATACACATGCAGTTAGCTCATGATCTATATTTTAAAAAACTCTCATTAGTATGCATGTAGCATCATCAAGAAGCGAGAAATTCGCGGTTTTAATTCCTCACTATTGATGCAACAACACCACTCTGTTTATTATCGATGATGCAACAACACCAATGTGCTGATGCAAAAACGCCAATATAATGTATCATTGAATATCAAGAGAAACTGTTTTATGTTCTGTTTATAGGTGTTGGCCGGGACATGAATAAAACGCGTGAGTGCGTGGTTCATGAATGAAACGTATTTTGTTTGGTTCCTTAATGTGTTTGTCTTTATAAAGTTAAAAGGATATACAAGGTAAACTAAATACATAGGCTAAGTATTGAATCCCCGGGAGCCAACCTCATTGATATTGTATCTGAAAAATAAAGATTGTTCATTTTCTAAATTAAATCCCCTTGATTTACCGTATCGTATGGAAATTGTTTACAAATATAACTAGACTTTGGAAATTGAACAAGTTCAAATCCAGACTCCAGATCTGGACTTTTTTAAGCCGAGTCATCCAGAAAAAGATGGATGGATGGATGAAATAGGAAGGAGGGATAGGACAGAATAGGATGGAACGATGGGAGAGATAAGAGATAAGGATAAGATAGGAAGTAAAGGATAGGAAGGATAGATAGATAGGAATGAAAGGATATGAAGGATAGATAAGAATGAAAGGATAGGGATAAAAGGGATAGGATAGCAGGATAGGATAGAATAAGAAGGAACGATAGGATAGAATAGTAGGATAGGATAGGAAGGATGGATGGAAGGATGGATGGATTTTTCAACATTTTCTTCGCTACTCTTTCTATCAGGATACCATCAGATCGATTTTTCTCGAAATTTCAAAACGCCATAACTTCCGAACACTCTTGGCTACATGTATACACAATTTCGAAGAATATAATTGAAGTGTAGTGTCAGAATCACAAAAATAAGGAAAACTTTGAATTTGACCTAGATTTTGACCTAGACATTTTTGTGTCCAAATTTTGAAGCTAGATTGCTTTTGAGGTACCCTTCATTTAAAGGCTTTCATTAAATTAAGCTGTACTTGGTCGTATATATGTCGTATTTTACACTTCAAAAAAAAAAGTTTTCCCATTGACTTAACATGGGGCACCAAATTTAGCGATTTTGAGTTTTCAAAACGCCATAAGTTCCGATGAGTGTTGGTTTAATGATATTGCAGTTATACAATGCTATTATATAGAGGTTATTTACTGAGAGGGATTCAATATTGGTTTTATTCCGGGACACATTATGATATTTCCCGAGGGCCCAGGGGAAATCTGGGATTACTGTACCCCTATCAATTTACCTTTTCGGGACCTAAATCCTATTACCTACCTTTTTACTCAATCGGGGAGAACGAATCCAAAGAGAACAATACTTCTACATGTGCGCTCTGCAAGATTTCCAATAGCTCGTCGTGTTTACCGAGAACGAAAGATGTTTGTCCACCATTTTGAATGACACTAACTGGTATCAGGGTCATCAAGCTATGGAACAGGGGTTTATGATAATAGATTGGGTTACCATAGCTTGCAATGTTAAAGGCGATTGAACTATGTTATAAAACAACTTCCAGTACATTATGATATTTAAAAGTATAAATTTTTGAAAATACATATAAAGAATCTTCGCCGCAGGACGTGTTTTTTGAATGCCTGAGAAGAACGCAAATGGGTACTGGCCCGGTGTTGCAATAGTGGCATTCAAAAATCTGTTCCTCTCGAGATTTATGGTCTTCTGAAATTATACTATTAATTGGTGTTGTTGCATCATTGCTCAAATCTAGAGGAGTGTTGTTGCATCTTCGGTTTGGTGTTGTTGCATCAATAGTGAGGAACTAAAACCGTGAACTTCTTGCTTCTTGATGATGCTACATGTATACTAATGACAGTTTCTTTAAATATAGATCGTGCGCTAACTTCACGTGTATGGTTATTGAGAAACTCGTCCTAGAAATGGGTTTAAATTGGGGAAACAACATATCGTACGAAAATCTATCACCGGAAGTCTGGCCATCTTGATGCAACAACACGGTGTTGTTGCATCACGATACTCCCCAGTGAGATATCGTTCAGTGCGTAAGATTTTCTTGCTGTTTCCATTCAGTGCGTAAGATTTTCTTGCTGTTTCAGTCCTGGTCATAAACGGTGAATATTGTGGGCAATATAGTGAAATATTGGACCTTGGGCCCTTGTTATATTATCTTTAGCTTAAAACTTGAAGGAAACTCAATTTTTTTAGAATAGAAAGACAGGAAAAGAAAAAGTAGAACAAAATTTCAATTTCTATCTGATGACCTGGTCATAATGAGCATTGTAACCATAATGGCAAATATGGCACCATTCAGTAGGCTTATGCGATGAAAAAGCTGATTTCTCAAAACATGAGGGAAAATAAGAGGCAGGACCAATGGTATATATACCAACATAGAGCCTAATAAAATGGGTATGTACATTGGCCCTGAATCAAATTGTTGACAGAGAGAAATACATGTACAGATGGACAAGTGGGTGATTCAATTGGCTAAAATAAAATTACATCATTCATTGGGCTCAAATGGCGATTTCTTGTACTCATTCATGAATAATAAATCAAGTTATAAATATTTAAAATAAAAATTCAGACAAATGACAGTTTTCTTTTGTCCCTAATTTTGGGTGATTAAATGTGCTGACCATGTGAACCAAAAATGAGCCAAACACACAGGAGACAAAGTCAAATTATACCTTGTCACTCCACCGAGGACTACTGCTCCAAAGCACATGCCAGCACACCCTAACAGCCATGTTCCAACAATCTTCTGTGCTCTAGCAGGAATCTCTACAGCACCTGCTGATGTGGTTGTCTGTCGCAATGTATTCAGGGCAACTCCAAACAACTGAACATTTAACACATGTCTTATATATATAATTTCAAAGCATAATTAACAATAAGTTTACAGGCAATTTAAAATGAGTATATTTTCTGTTTGTATGTTTTCTTTCTATCTTAATTTGCCAATGTTTATTTAGAATGTATATGTACATCTACTTGTAGACAATTTACTTTTTCAAAATGACAATAAGGGCCAAAACTATATTTGATAAAACTGTTTACCTTTTTACTGTTTTGCCTAATGTTCCCAGTAAGCCTAAGATTCTGGCATTTAGCAGCGAGTGTCGTGTATTTTGACACTGATTGTACTTGAATAGGTTTCCTGCATTTTAAGCACTGGAAATAAAGATTTATAAAATAGAAATATTAGATCATGCACATTTATTATATATGATTTTAAAACTCAAAAATGTGTAGTACTCTCCTTGAATGTGACATCCATGAACATCGCGAACTCTCAAGACCGCACCAAATAATGGAAATAATCAAAAAGGTTCCATTAACTATAGCAAATAAATATACATGTATTATAAAAAAGGAGGATTGGCTCCCATCATTCTATCTCAGTATTCTGCTTCTGCCATATATACATGTACATGTAGTCATCTTGTGATTACAAAATTCAAAACCAAACAGCTGCCATTTTTTCACTTCAGATTTTCAATCATATGTTTTATTATTTAAGAAGTGATCAAGTTGTTAGTTCATATCTTTCGGATCACTGATTATGAATTTATAGTCAGTTATAGACTAGCGTCCAAAGAGAACTATTCATCTTTCTTAGAGTATTTTAGTGTAGATTTTTATACAAAGTAACAAAGAACACCAAAAAAATCAATATTCTGCCCCATATACGTACGGGCATAGGCTAAGGGTTAAGTAATAGTAAGCTGTATATATAAGAGACAGGTCCACAAGTAAGATTGAAAATTATTCAAATTTTTTTAGTCTTGGCACTAGTTCTCCTTACTGGTATCAAATTTTATTCCAAAATTTCTCCAAAATCTTCTTCAAAGTGTTTTTCAAACTTATATCATTGTTTTTTTCAAATCTTTATCTAAAAACTGCATATTATACTGCATATAAAACAACAACTATGGAAACCTACAATTGCCTGGCAAGCTGAAACTGATTGTCACTGGTGGAGGTCAGGGAGGTCAGCAGTGACCAATCAGATCACTTGTTTACTAATGAACTTGCCAGGCAATTGTAGGTTTTCAGAAATTCTCTCTTTTAGACAGCATTATTCACTCTATATCATCTGACTGAGTTTCAATCTTAGGTAAGAGCTACAAACTATCAATTTTATATCAACTCCCCATGGCTTTTTGAAAATAATACACTAAATATTGTTGAAATCTCCATCTTAACAAGTGGTCTAAGTCAGAGTTGTTCACCTGTCTCTTATATATACAGCTTACTATTACTTAACCCTTAGCCTATGCGTACGGGCATGTCCTGTTACAAAATTCTAATTCAAACAGCTGCCATTTTGTTCACTTCAACATTTGAATCGTGAATTTTGGTGATATTGGTTCAAATCTTTTGAACTGTTTATTTTGAATTTATAGTCGGTTATAACATGGGCTTTCAACTCTTGTTGAAAGCCCATGGTTATTGTTTGAAAGTATAAAGTTTTGATGCCAATCCTCCTAGTTATTTGTCATAGAAATCAGCACTAAACAAATTGCTTAGAAATTAAAAGTTTTAGAATATATCTAGTTACTGTTATTGCCCTTATTGGTGAAATATTTTTTTGTATAATTATAAGTGGGCGATAATAAAGTAACTTACTTGAGTTTGCATAACATTACTCTTAGACGTGAAAGAAGCGATACACCTCCGAAGCAACTGATTCTCAGCTGATTTGGAGGCCACAATAAACATCCTAGACATCATTTTAACTCTGTCGTTGTCGCTGTTGTTGCTTGACCTTTAAAATATTAGAACATGTAAAATTTCATGTTTCGAAACGAAAAGGTATAAGGTCACCAAAACTAATATCAAAGCCAGGTTTGGCCATTCTAAATTACATTCTTAAAACTCTATACTATTTTTTCAATACATTTGAAATATATAATAATTAGTCGTATTAACATGATAAGAAAGAAAAATCTGACTTGTCATTGTCTTTGATAATACATACAGAATTTAGCTTATATTTAGTGGTTTGATACCTGATCTTGATTATAAAAAGGTTTAAAACCCAGACTTTTGCTTCCGGAATCGTGAAATCAATAATCAATTATAATTTCATATTTTCACTATCATATCCACTACATAATTTAATTTAATTCACAACAAATTACTAATAATTGATACATTGATTCCTGAGCAAAAATAAATGAATTTTAGGAAAATCCAATATTTCGTATCTTATAAACCATATAAAGTTGCTCATTGACCTACATTTAGCATAACATTAGCACATGGAGAAGTTGTGTTTCGTAAGTGCATAATCAGCTTCTCGACTAACACAATTTGAGCTCATCCTCGGATGGGATCTTTATTTGTTTGATAGTATAAGGTAAGCATCGTTTTTTGGTATCTTCTGAATAAGTCTACATAGTCAGTGGGAAACAGTGATTGTAGTGAAAATGTTGTTGTGAGTCAGATGATATAACCATGGAATAAATAAAATTGCACTGGGGACCACTTGTAATTACCCTGGGGTTAACGCCTCAAAGTTTGTGAAGTAAGTTGCTACATGTAATGAATTATTAGTCCATCCATAGGCCAAGGGAAAAGTAATAGTAAGCTGCTTGCCCGTAGCCAGCTTTTACCAGGGGGGGGAGCTTTTTTCCAGGGGGGGGAACTTTTTCACAATTTTGGCAAAAAATTCTCAGAATGGTGAAAAACTGCATGATTTTGAGGGTTTTCGGAAAAGACCGACCCCACCGACCACCGACCGGTCTGTGTTTTCCACTGGTAGCCTCAAAACAGGGTTTGAAGAAAATGTGTAAAAGACCGACCATATCATGTAAAAGACCGAACATATTTGTAGCCTTAGAATATTAATAATTTGATTTTGAATGTCAATCTTTGGACTAGGCAACGTTTTTTACCGATTTTGTACCTTGCAACGAATGGCAAGCAAACAAATTGGTCATGACCGTCTCCTCTCGATTAATTGCCCTGCCTTAGGTCCTAACCTATCATTAACCAACCTATCGTTTCTACGGGAATCTATCCTAATTTTTTACTGAAATTTAACAATTTCGAAACAAAAATGATTTGTTATCGTCATAGCCTACTGAATACTGAACACGATAATAATGTTACATGCATTCTCTTATCGGGATTAAAAGTGACTTACCATTTCAGTACACCATTAGAAAGCTTTTTTTGTCATATCAAATGTAGTTTTTACCAGTTGACATTTAACAACTGAGAAATCAAACATAACGTTACGACGTCAACATCGACGATGTTTGTGTGTTTTTGTTTCATATGAATGAAGAATGAACTTAATGCAATGTTACGTGCGTTTTTTTCCAAAGTGACTAACCAGGATGAAATTGGTCTTCTAACAATTGAAACATCACTTAAAAATATGACATTACACACCACGACGGATGTAACGTTTTCATCGTGATTTGAAATGATAATTATACGTTTTTAAATCACGACCTAGTAAAGGTACTATAGTCATTGGATTCCCAGTTTTAGTTTTACTTCTAATTTTGCATTTTTTCATCTTTATGTAAAAGACCGTCAGCCGACCACCGACCACATGTACCCAACTGTGGAGAGTGACTGGTCGGTGGTCGGCGGTCGGTGTTTTACGAAAACCCTGATTTTGAAAGAATTTCTGGCCAGGGGGGGAGCTTCTGCTCCCCTAGCTCCCCCTCTGGCTACGGGCCTGAGCTGTATATAGAAGAGACTGTCTCTTCTATATACAGCTTACTATTACTTTACCCTTGGCCTATGAGTCCATCATACCAGGTTTGTGTAAAAAAACGGGTTACAGGGTAGCCGGGTGACTGGGTACCCTACCTTCCTACTAGGGTTAGGAATTTGATTTTTCATTTTATGCCTCAAACGCCCAACTGACATCACAATCAATGTACCAGTGACACAACTAATCAAGCAAACAACCAAACAAGCAACAAAGTTTATTTACCAATAAATCAACCGGCAAAATGACAATCAAAATTAGTATAATGTCAATCAGTGAGGCAATAAATCAAGCAACTAACGTTGTATTGTACATCATACACTAATTAACAGATAAAAACGGCAAATAACGTTTCAATTTACGCATATGTAAATCTTCCAGATTTGTTTAATATCTAGTAGAAATCGCCATTATAGAAAACAATCATCAATATCCTGTCAATTATTCAGACAATAAATCAAGCAACTAACGTCATCGTACGTGCAAACTGTGTAAATAACTACCTAGGACTTCCGATATTCAGTCTCTAACGGGTTTTTGGTAAAATGATAACGTAAAAATATTGAAGGGTAGTCTACAAATGTGCAACTTTGAAAGTTGGTAACCCTGCAAGGAATGTTAAGTACCCAGTTACCCAGCTACCCGGTCACCCGTTTTTTTTACACAAACCCCATCATACCCCCCAAAAATAGGGAGTTGATTTTTCAAATCATGAATCAACCCAAGGTAAAATATACAAGGTATTTCCATTTCTTTAAAGTAGGTAACTTTGTGAAAAGAAGCATCTATTTTTGCAAAGTATGGGTTTCATCTAAATCATCTTTCCCACATGCACTTATTCTTGTTCTACATTTTTAGAATTACTAGCAGTTATCCAAAGTATAGCCTGTCAATAGGAAAAGGACTTCAACATAATGGCTAAAGCATTAGTACAGGGTGCCAGTCGTGGCCTTGGTCTCCAGTTTTGCCGCCATATATTAGAAAGGTCACCAAGTGCAGCCGTTGTTGCAACTTGTAGAAATCCAGAGGAGGCAACACAGCTGAAGCTATTGAAATCTAGTTATCCAAATAACCTCAGAATTCTTCAAATAGATGTCACCCGTGAGGATCATGTTCAGGTATTGAAATTAAGAGGGGAATACCCCATAATTTAAAAATGGTCAACCTATCTCCATGTAAAGATAAACCTCTTTTTATTGCATCCTTGGTGTTTTATGTGGAATATGCCATATATTTATGGTCACACTGTATTTGCGATATACAGGTGAATATGCCATACTTTATTCCACAGGTGAGTATGGCATATTCCACGGTGAATATGCATTACTCAATACTCATCTGTGGAATATGCGATTCTCACCCGCTGTACATAATCATTGTGAGATGACATATTCCACATGTGAGAATGTTTTCCAGACAAATTTGATTTTATTGGTTGAAATAATCTATTCTAAATAAAATATACTGGATTACCAATATTGTTAGCACTTCGAGCTTTAAAATATCAATCTTGAACTTTATAATGTGTGATTGTTAAATAATACTGAATGTATAATTCATGATAGCCAGTACCATAAAACATTCATATTTGTGATTTTGTGTCTGGTCTTTGAAAAAAGTTGCAACATTTTTGGCACACCCTGTATTGATTGAAAATGTGATGACATCAGTGTTTGATATTCTGGATTTTGTGACAAATATACATTTACTCCTATTTGCACTAATATGCTTGTTTAAAAACATATGAAGTGAATTATTTTGAAGCTTGCTGCTGCTTCTGTGAAAGATGACTTGGGAAGTTTAGACTTACTCATCAACTCTGCAGGAATCCTGCATCCATCAAAAAGAGGAGAGACTAGTTTAAAAGATGTCACTGCTCATGTAAGTAGCATTGTGCCATATACAGGTATAATGGCCTTCAGGACTGTCAATAGATGGCGAAAAATTCAGTGGGTTTAAAAGCATACTTTATCATGTAAAAATTGCTCCAAAAATCTCCCAAGATAAATGTGATTGAAAATATCCAAAACCTTTTGATTTTGAATCTTAAAACATGTTTGTAAATAATAATGAAGGAAAATATGATATTTATTTGATATGTGTAGTGAATTTGAAGTTTTAAAACACCAATATTTACACACATACTGTACTTATGGGCCAGATGAGAAGAACAACCTAGTAGTTAACTGCCATCTATACGAATCCTGACTGCCATTTGGTAATTGTATCCCCAAAGGCCTTAAAATAAATTTACGATAAAGTCTATGTATTTTTATATTAAAATGACCAATACATAATTGTGCTTCATAATTTAAACTGAACGACGAGATTTTGAATATTTGCAGACTGGAAAGTTCAGTACTATAAGTTAATTTTAAGAACATGAAAATAATTCCTAATCAAAAAACACAATTCCTCAATTTTGTGTCTGATTTTGTCAAATATTTTGCTTTTTATGTAACAAAGTGTAACAAAGATACACTTAAAATGCCACTAATAGGTTTAATTCATAAAATCCATCAAAATTTTGCATCCATTAATTAAGAAACTAAGTCAAAAGTGTGATATCATCCTATGCTATAGCATGGAGCCATCTATTGCCAAGATACAACTACCTTAAACAAGAGTTGTATCATGAACATAAGTAAATTAGAATTCCTTTTCTTACTTTTTGCACGGCTGTAAACTCAGTATAATTGTTATCCCAGGCTATGTCAGTGGCAGAGCCAGCAATTAACAGGGGGGGGGGGCAAATTTTGAGTCTGGAAAATGATTTCCGCGCTTGCCCCATGCCTAATGTTGACCAAGTACCTATGTGACAGGCCTTCTAGAGATGTCTGAACAACAAGTAGTAGGCTGACTAAGTAGAAGTATGACTGTGTACTCCACATTTTGTTTTCAGGGGCTAGAAGCAACTTTTCGGACTAACACTCTTGGGCCAATGATCATGGCTAAATACTTCAGTCCTCTTCTGCTAAAAGGTCAAGGGGCATTTGGTTTGACTGACAGGGATAAACCTCACAAAGGCATCATTGTAAATATTTCAGCCAAGGTGGGCTCTATCACTGACAATGGTAAGATAAACATATTATATTGTATTATGTTTTATTATCGAACTAAGCTCAGAGGGAAAAAGGGAACGCCTCTGTCTTTCTGTCTGTACATCCATTCGTCTGTACATCCATCCGTTTGTACATCTATCTGTCCAGTCTATACCCGATACTCTAATACCGTTCATATTTTGTACACATATGCCCTATGGGACACATATTTAGAAGTTTCTCTGAAAAGTCAATTTTTAAAATGGCAGCTCGTTTAAAAATGCTGGCCATTTTAGTGCAGATTTTACAGCAATTTAGGTACAATATATATCTGTAATAGCAATATGTTTTAGATGTAAAAATGTTACATACAACATTAATTTTTATAGCTAGAAATGTAGCAATTTTGAAAAATGGCGGCCATTTTTAGTTGTGTTATTTTACGAGTTTTGCTATAACTGAAAAAGAAGTAGAAGGATTTTGTAAATATGTCAGCCATGGCTGTTCAATGGGATTTGCTACGCTTTGGTGTTGCTGTTATCTAGTTATATTATATTTTATTTCATACCATAATACTACTACCTCTTGGTGAATTATGCTAGCAATATGTTAAATATTGAAAAATCCCTCCTCTAAAATCATACTCACCTGGAATTGAAATATTTTCCCCTGTATTGAAATCATATTCACCTGTTCATCCACGTATTTGATTCTCTGACAGTTTTTAATTTTTTAAAGTTATACCATAGCTTTTATAATGTTAATTTTAATGTTTCATTATTACCAAAAAAGATTCATCGAAATCAAATGCTGTATAAATCAATCAGTATACCTGTATGTAGTCCATTCTTATAATTTACAGTGACTTATGAATCATTCAGTATCATATAATAAAATGCTTATTTCCTAGTCAGGAATTAAACGTGGATTTTATACCTTGGTCACCTTTGGTTCCTTCAGTTTCTTACAATAATCAACATTTTACCCTGTTTTAACTTTGTTAATCATATTGGATATGGATTCTGGTTTCAGGTCTTGGAGGCTGGTACAGCTACAGGCTCTCTAAAACAGCCCTGAACATGGCAACAAAGAATCTCAGTATTGAATTAGGGCGTGGTAAAAATAAAGTCATATGTGTTTCTTTTCACCCAGGGACTGTGGACTCTGATCTTTCTAGACCATATCACAAGGGAGTCCCTGAGGGGAAACTATTCAGTGTTGAACACTCAGTAAATCTGCTGATGAACAATATTAACAACCTTAAACTTGAAAATAGTGGACAGTTTCTTAATTGGGATGGAACTCAACTACCATATTGAGCTTAGTGAATATTCAATAGTTAAAATATTAAAAAATACATGTAACTTATTATAAGGAAGATATGGAATAGATGTAAAAAACTTGCTAACATTCTTTGTCCAAAATGTGTTCACTAATAGCAGGAGCTACTCTGTATTCATGTTGCTAGATTGCCCAACTTAACAGTAAAGAGCGTTTATACAGAAGGCATTAGAGTATCAGTGGTCAGTATCAAGCGAAGGTAACGGCCGTAACCTTCGCATCTAAGATGGTGGGCGGTAATTGTCATATCATATTTTTAGTTTTCATTGAATTAAACTACTTTATAGTTGATGTTATTTTATATTTTAACCAAATCAGGCTTATATGAAATAAGAACTTTGGAGTAAGATCATTTGTTCATATATCGTACGTGGACGGCACAGTTCGACGATATCCTCCACCGCTCAAGGGAAGGTAACTGGTATAAGTTGTAATGAATGATGCGGTAACGGTCATATTCATGATAGTTTTCAATAAGGGGAAGCTGGACATCTTAGCTCTTCATAATAAACTCCCATAACGTTAATGCATCATCGCATATCAGTTATCATCTGTAAAACCAAAATCCCAGTTACCTTTCCTTAAGCGGTGGAAGATATCCTTGAACTGTGGTGCCTACGCATGGAACATGGACAAATGATCATACTCAAGAGTTTACGTCAACTATGACGTGATTTAATTAGATGAAAACAAAAAATATCAATCAAAAACCGTTAAATACGAATATGTTATGGCCGTCAACTTTTTACTGACCAGTGAGTATGTGTGTGGGAATGGTGTCCACTAGACAGTTGTTCACTAGAGAGGTTTCACGAAGACATGTTTTACTGTAATGTAATATTTTGGCTCTAATGACTTTACAGAGAGAGAGAGCAGTGATTGTTTAAAAACAACATTTTTTACAAATTGGCATACCTAAGCACCAGACTGGTACTACCAACAGCAACCCCATACAGTAACGCAGATATATGTCTCTGAGTAACGTAACACATAATCTTCAACAAAATTTTGCTTATAGAATTAAGGAAATAATTATAACCTGACTGTCTTTATTAATATTGTTGTTAAAGACAAATTGATTAGTGTTTCTGGCATAATACCATTAGTGCCTTCTGTTTCACATTATTCACTGATGATTTGATTGTCATGACAAATGGAATGGTCCCGTTCAATCTCAATAACGAATGACGACAAAGCATTTAGCGCGTTTAAAGAGTTCACCGATTATTTACTGCGCTTTACATACTTTTAATCAATCGCTAGTCGATACTTATTTAATTAGCAAAGGGCTTAATGCAGCAAAGTGGTGGGTTGGGAAATATAGCTTTTGGCAGGTTAAGACCACTGACATTTCATTAGAAATATAATCGTGAAGTAAGCTTGAAAGTCACTACATGACTTGTGTATGTCTTATCGTTTACCCTGGCTACACATTTCATTTTGTTTTTGTAACAGCCCGACGGACGCTGCGATCATGATCATTGTTCATTTTGCAAGTGTTAAACTTTATATTTTACAGTTATGAGTGGCACAGACAAATGATTTGTTGTCAGTTTTTTGTTTTATTTGATCGAATGAGAATTAAACTTATAGTCGACTTATATTAAATGTCTTAATTAAATGGAGATAGGATTTGACGCTACCCAGACCAGAGTTGAACGATTGCCTAATACTGAATTATAGGATGTTCCTGCCAATGGGATGATAAGCAGGATTTCATTAAAGAGCCAAGAAGATAGGTTCTAATATTATCCAAGAATGATTATTGGCAAGAACGTCATGCGTAAGTCAGTGACCATAAAAAATAGCTAGCTGAAGCAAATACAATCTCCCACAATTATTATTCAAATTGAATGATCAATTCACGTGCAGCCACCGTAAGCATTGATTTCTTGAATTTTGGCTTCGATTGCTACCGACTACCAGTGATTTCTTAAATCTTAACTTCAAGCGTGTGTTCATCAAAAATCGCAATGCAAATAAAATTAAAGATATAAATCCGAATAATGTTTAAGACCTAAAATAATTTAAAATAGATATTCACAAGTACGAAAGCGCATAACTTGTTATTGAAGAACACTGACAAGGTATACTCTACCAGCTTCAAGTTCAATCCATGGAGATCCTCTTGAAAGCCCATTGTTCAATCTGAACATATTGCGACAATTTACATTTTTAAATCATCTGTCATTGGTGATCGCTCGCCTCTCTTGACAATATCTTCTTTAAAAGCTGCAATGTCCACATCCGAAATGTGACATTAATCTGGACAATTGGATTCCAATGGGACTTCTTCGTCTTGAACATTTCTATATGTCATAGGTGACAAAACAATTGTACCATTACCAAAGCACTATGCCATTTATCTTTAAATTCAAATTAGACTTAAGTACCATTTACGACGCATGATGGGACATACTGTGATTAAAGATTATTTCAACAAAGCACTTAAGGGGACATTTAGGCTGTTCTTTATATTAATTTGCCCTCTCCTTTTAAAGAAGCAAAGCAGCAACGGGTGATAATTGAATAAGGCTCCACCTAATTGTTCCCACGGGATGAAGTATCTCTTTAAAACAATCGCTTGCTTCTTAATTTCTAAAACGTAATAAAATTTAAAGATGCATTTAAGTGATTTATTGTGGGTAATTTAGGGAAATGTAGCACGAAAGTAAAGGTAAATTGAGATTTACAATGGTGACATCTCCGTCCGGACACATACGTATTTTATAACCGGACATTGAACCAGTATTTATGACTTACCCACAACTTGGAAGTGCTATGCATCTATTTTACCAAACCAAAGGAATAAATTATGTATATACACAGACTGTATATACATTACATTGTACTATGTACACTGTAGATTAATCATTAGTACTCAAACCCACTAAAATTAATAAGTTTTCTGATATTTGATAAATATGAATATATTATATTAAATATTCTTAAAGTCATCATAATGACTATTTGTACATTTGCATCACATTTGATCTGATTTAATATATCACATACGAAGATGTTTATATTCAAAGCTAAAAGTCAGAAACAGATAGCATATTTTTTATGTATATGGATTATTGAGTCTAAAGCGCTACAGAAAGTAAAATGGCTATTTTACTCATATTCTTAGTCTTGCTCCAAGACTACCCCCTGTACTCCACCTTGTTATGTTGGGAAGGTGAAGTAAACAGTTTTGAGGCAAGCCTATCTTACGCTCATTGTACATGTTGTAAGGTTTACATCTTCAACAACAACTGTACGGCATATGTAAACGACAACAGTGCATAATTTGGTTGAGTGTTTGCTTGTTGTGTCATTGGGCGAGCTTGCATGGTGGCGGTGTCACTAGGCCCAACAATATCAGTTGCTTCTCCTTAGTTCGCTTTACCATGCCTTCAATGTATATTGGTCATGGTTTGCCCTTCACACAAGGTTTGGCGAAGTTAAAGACGGTGCATTCAGGTATTCAGGTCTATCTTTTGATGGTTCCTCATTGGCCCATGGCTGCAGGTTTTGAAGTGCATTAAGCGATGCATTATTTACAACGACAGGATCTGGATTGTCATAAATGTTCTTACTATTCTCAGAGGCGAGTCCTAGCATAAAGCGTTTCGCTGCTTGTCTCTCTGCTTCACGTTCCTCCGCTGTTTGACGCCTGAAGGGAAAATAAGACCACACGCACATCAATTTAAATGTTATTTTACACCAAAATTATGAGTGACTTTTAGGTGATGAAAGCTTTGAGTTATTTTGTTCAGTGTTGTCGGCATTTTCAAGACATTCCATTGCGACATTTATAACATGGTTGCCAGCGGTGACGAACAGATTCATCAAATTATAGTTCTGGGATAGGCCTTTGCCCACAAGCATGCAGACACTTATAACAGGAGCAAAGAAAAGCTGATCAAGTTGAAGTTTGTGAAATAAAAAATAACTGGATCTATAGGCTATATGATGAATTGAGTTAACTTTTATTCTGTAGGCGTCGCCTTTTTATCATAGAAGATGGGTTTAGAAAAAATAAATTATTCAAATATATACTCAGGTGGTTTAACTCATTTATTTAACAGTTTACCAGAGGCCATCGCTTTGTTTAAACTTCTAACTCTTTTTAAACTGACAGAAGATTAGCGTAAAAGACCATTTGATGTTCAGTCCCTCTGGTAAGGCTGTTTTTTATTGTAATGTTTGTCACCTCAAAGACAGATCTTGTGGCAAAGGTATACAATCGTGGGAACTAGCTTACTTTTAAATTCATTCGGTTAAGCTCTCATCTTCGCAGGGTGATACAATTATTGACAAATTACTAGATATAAATATGAGTAATACACACAAAAAAGTCAAAACTCTTGAACCTCGGGAAAATAGAAGTAACAAGACGTGAGCAAAATAAAGGATAGAAAGAGAGAACAAATTCTTAAATATTAAATGTCGTCAACCCAACTCATCCCTATCCTTTGCTACTATAATATATATGATAACAGTTATCAATGATTAAGTTCCGATAAAAAATTAAAAGAAACCCTTTCCAGAATAATTAAACAACAAAAATACATTTTATTTTGGTCTATTTACTAAAACTTATGAAGTTTTCTTTGTTGAATCTCTAAATAATTACATTAATTGATTAATTATTAATTGCTTACATTGATATAAAAATTCAAAATAAGACGTTTCATATTGTTATAATATGGTAATAATGAAAGGTTAAAACGTTGTATGTTTTGTCTTTTAGTGGTATAACTCACAGATTGAATCTATGAGTCCCACTGAAATCTCATATCCGTTGATTAAACGCAATACTTGAAAATATTCGAATTACTAGGACGTTATTTGAAAGAAAATTATTATTTTTTATTAATGTCTCTTCCTTTTTTATTAATAACTTAAAAATTCAAGTGACATTCAATTAATATCATGATAATACCATATTTACAAGATCTTTGAGATTCACTGGGTCAAAGTTTAAATTTAGAAATATTATTTAACAAACGAAGAATGACATAACATACTTCAGCAACAACTGATCGGAGACAAAGAGGTTTGTTTTATTTAATGAAAACCACGATCAATAGTAATATGATTGGACTGTCAATTTCAAAAATAGATTGAAAATATTTAGCATGAAATCATCTATGACTATGTGGCATAATTTGAGTTGTATCTTCTAGAGTTCTCTAGTTTGTTTCTTTAATCAGCACTTTATCAGTAAAATTAAAATCAATACCTCCATTTCGTTCTTCTGTTTTGGAACCAGGTTTTCACTTGGGCATCTGTCATTTTTAGGGCCTTTGCAAGAGCGGACCTTTCCGCGGATGCCAGGTATTTCTGTCGGTGGAATCGCTTCTCGAGCTCCATCACTTGTAGTCTGGAGAATGATGTTCTCGGCTTCTTTCGCTTTGGTGGTGTTCTGTTTTGATAGGGATGGCCAATTCTCCTGGTCACTGAAACAAAGACATTTGTGTTTAATCTGGTCTTCTGAAATTTTATGTGAGATTTTATAAAAAATTCATTTGGGATTCCATGCAATTAAATGTAAGTGCAGATGAGCCGTGTGTTTTCATAGTTTCATCACTTGACACTGGCTCACTCAAAGCTACACAAATGAAGCGAATGTTATTTGAAGAAATGTTCCGAGCTAAAATTGGGTAATTTGATCAGATATGCGAAGACAATGTGTTTTATGGAACTGTTCCAGAGCCCTTACTTTTAGAGATATATCAAAGATATCTACACATCTGGCTTTCTTTAAGGAGGCCACGCGGCATTTAAGCAACCATAAAATTGCCTGTCTTCACTTTAAGTGGCTGACTATTCTTGTTATTTATTATTTACTTAAATGAGAGACTTATCAACTATACCAGTAGCTTTTGTTTAGGCTATTTAATCTAATGTTCCAAAAAGATTCCAGATTCGTGCTGTATGTTTATGCCTGGCCGTTGTCAGAGAGATTCTAACACACATTATCTCTCATTATGATATCCTTAGCACCATGCAAAAAATTTCAATAAAAAAAACCTCCTGATAATCACGCCCAGCGCATTTTGTAACATTCATTGGATGTTTTAAGTGGCAATCAAGAATATAAACTTAAAACACATGCATGTTTTCCAAATGCGTACATTCTTATTTCATTGATCAAAAAAAAGTTTTAACATATATGAACGTTTTTAAGATATGTGAGCGTTTTTGAAAAATATACAAATTATTACCAAATAACCTTAAAAATCAAAAGCATCATTACGAAATTAAGTCAAGATTTTTTTTAGAAAATTCCTCCCGAGTGGTCTCTCGCATTTTATATATATATATAAATGTCATACATTTAAAATATTTTATACATATATTTTATGTTTAGGGAAATATATCTGAAATCGGGGCAAAATAACCAAGATAAAAAGACTGCACAGCTATTATAAAAAATACAATCATCGTAACCCACAAAGCATCTCAGGTGTCCCCTCATCTGCCTACTTTGGAAAATATGAATACTGAAAAGTTGTTTGTAGCCGGACACCCATGCCTTTTCTTCGTCACATTGACATTTACATCTGTTTCTCCAATTATAATAAAATCAAGAATTAAAAAATAAAAAAAATTCAAACCAGGATCTAGTGTAATGATGCGATGTAAGTGTGCAGTCTTGTGCCTGGAACCTGAAAGCACTTTGTGTGGCACCTAACATACACACATATTTGTCAACACCATTCTTAACATGAGAGACCCCACCCGGGTAGAACTATCTGGCTATGTAACTAATATAGCTCATTTTCTTGAGATTTGGCTGATCCTTATAAAGAAGCAATTGTAAGGAAGAATAGGCCTGGATGTCAGTTTAATATGTTAAAGATTCTGAGGATATCGGAAGATTAACGAATAGACTAGATGCGAGTACTGAAATAATCTTGATTTACGTCATTGAATATTCATAATTCAATCAAAGTGATTTCATATTTGAAATCTACATATAAAAGTACATCTAAAAATAAAGTTTCAAAAATCAACTTTGAAATTTTTTACTTGAAATGTGACTTCTAGTTCGGAGAGATTACCCATAGACCCCGTGTTATAAAATCACAAAAAGTGAAATATCTAGATCTTTTCTTGTATTAAATAGATAATTTTTCTTTTACTGAACATATTTTAATTTGCATACAGCTAATTAACATAAGAGTGATATGAAAATTGACTATAGCCATCTGACCCAAATGAGCCACCTGGTGGTGAAACTGATAACTACCTACTCTAATCTGAGAATTTAGTGTAGAGCTCACGTAAAAGGCTAATAGATTAGCTACCAGATATGAACAAGTTGCATGAACACATTTTTTAGACATAGTTGAAGTCGTTTTGACCAATAACTAAATAATAATGTAACACTTTGTATTATCGGTAACAACTTTTTTCATCACTCAGGCTAAATGAATAAATTACAATGAAAATTACTTGCGAAATATAGCGTTGAGGAAAGATTTATCATTCATCGCCAAAGTTTACTATAGAATTTTTCCATCCAAATTCTTTGTTTCGTCAATTGAAATATGCCTCGCCTATTTCTAGTATAGATAATAGATACGCTCCCAATTATGTGTACCAGATTGATTGATTATTCCATCGGAACTTGTGTAAAGTAATTTTATTTGCTATATATCTATTATATTATTATTAGCATTTGGTCATCTAGACATATTAATTAATATAGTATGTGACCAAAACAAGGCTAAGGTTTACATCTTTCAGCCACCTCTTATTCCAAACATGAAATTAAAAGAGACCACCGATGGTTTTGATGCCTTCAGCCGAATGAAAGTAATATATCTACCTATGTTCTATGTATTGTTATGTCACCACCACAAAGTGGTGACATTGTTATGGTCAACGTTTTATGAACCATTTGGCGTCAGCGATTGCGTCTCTAAGAAATGGTCACACATCCATAATTGCAAGCGGCGACAATTTGTAATTGTTAACATGACAAAACGTAACTACCTGGTAAGATATTACAAATAGTAACAAAAGTGTAACGATATGTTACAGAACGGTGTTAACAATATATATCGATATGTCAACATTTCTAGATGGTGACATAATAATTAACATATAACAACTTATATGATATATTCATAATTTTAGAGCAACTCATCATCATAATATGCATCACTATTAACCATAATTAGGCATTTATGATTATCAGTATTTTTGTCTTTTCTCCGCCAACCATTGGTATCATTTTTGCACTCCCAAGACCAAGTTCCACATAAGTTATCTGTTAGACATAACGGATTTGAATATAAATGGGGTACATTGAGCAGTTGTGGTATGCAGCACAATAAATAACATTAGGAAGTTCGAATACTCCCTTGATGAACATAACCATTGTACGGGAAAAGAATCTGAAATGTCATACTTACGGGCAAGTCTGTCTTTTCTAGTTTCCATCCATGCAAAGCTGTTGTTCGATACACTTGCTGGTGACAGGGGATTTGGTCTGTGCGCAGGTACCCTGATCACACCCCCGGAAGCAAAACCCGCTCCGGGCATAAACACTACAGTCTCACATAGTGGGTTTATAAGCATTCCGGGGTAGCCGATAGGTAGCGCTGAGTGCATTCCATGATGTATTCTGCTAGTTGGACTAAGATCTAATGGTACTAGGTTTGGTCTATTCGGAAGACATTGGTCTGAGGAATCAATGCCGTGGGACTCAGAGTCTGATTTTGATTTATCGTCCTTACTTCCTAATATGCTATTGATACTAAATGATAACTTTGTTGCTGTCTTTGATGAAGTGTTTGTAGGTTTGGCAGTGGGTGCTGTGGTTAGTTGTGTGCTTGATACTTCCAATACCGGACTGCAGTCCCTGGATGGGCAGTGTTCAACGTCCTGGGGGCACTCGTCCCCAACCTCTATTTCTTCCATATCTGACATGTTAGAATCAGACATGATACAATAGTTCCTTTTCTGAAATTCTGCTTGGTTCTATTTTTCGGGAAAACTAATTTTGTATTTATAACTATTTTGATATAATTATGGCTTGCAAATTATAAAACATATGCTCGATTTTATTATTGGTGATTTCTTGTTCTCATTTTTGTAGTTCAAAAATTTGATTAATTTTAGTCCATTTCCATTCCAAAATATGATAGCATCCTCAATGATAAACTTTTTTGCGTTGTTCAGTCTTCGTTTGCAAATTGTCTCAATAGAGATTATCAGACATATGCCTAACTACCATTTAATTGTTCTTCTCAGTAATCAAAAAGCTAATCGGTTCTGTTCTGTGTTTCCGTATAACTCGGTTGGTGGCCCTTTGAGAGACTGTTCTATTTAATTGTTTCAACTCTATAAAAACAATGGTCTAATCTCCATGACTGACAATTACAAACTACACACCACGTGATCGCAGCTCTAGTAACCTGATTGGTTAAGATCTCAAATAGCTGCGATAACGCAATATGGAAAATGAAGAGATCTAATTTCCGAAAAATTACCAGTTCGGATCTACTTAACAGTTGTAGGTTTTATTAGAGAAGAAAAGGACAACGAACGCAGCGAAATATTCCAAGCAAATCCCTATAAACTATTATAACAAAAAATTATCAAAACAACTCAGTTCATCAACTGTAATATGACGCAAGTTATCAAAATTACGAACAGAACCTGGTGAATGTTATAAAAAAATTAAATAATTAATTAAGTTAAGTTAAGTTTAAGTTTAATCCAATTTTAACATTTTACATACATATAATCATATACAATTTGCCGCAAAGCGTATATTGTGTACATTTTTGCATTTATGTAGCGTCGACAGATTTTCATGCCTTTTCTGAGGGTATGTAAAAATGCGTAAAAATAAAATGTAAATCGGAATAAAATATATCAGTACCAAAAGAGAATAACATTCGCTTCACTATTTTTCTCTATTCTGTTAGTAAAAATAATTGAATGGCTCTTCTAAGTATTTCAGAATGAGATGGATATTACGTTATGTTGCGTGTCGTCTAGATAGCAGTAAGCGCTATTAAAGAATTTTGCGCCATAATCCCCGGGGCGCGAGAACAAATGTTCGCAAGTAAGAAAAAGTGTGATCTAATACGTCTCTGTCCTGTTGACGTGCCAGATTAGAAGTTTGGCGAGCACTCAAGGGAGGTCGCTTTGTCGTTGTTACCTTAAAGAGAGACGTTCTATCGGGATGCCGCACGCGATAGGTTATGCCCCCTCATTTCCATGACGTTCTTGTACCTACTTTAGAGGTATAGGTGTGAAAAATATCAAAATTTGCAATTTATTCTAATTGTTCCGAAATGATTGAATTGAGGCATTCTGTGCGAAAATGATTTGTTTAACGATTTTGAAAATAGTTCGTTTCTCACTTTTGCGGTATATTCTTTACATTAGTGTGAAAATGTAACACAATTTGGTAATGTATTTGGACATTTATGATATTTTACAGTTTTTCTATAATCACTAACACCAACAGAAAAATAAACGATTGAGGTACGATTGGTAGTTTTTATGTCGTTGTTATCGTCATTATCTTGCGATCTAAGGCTAACCGTTCAATCTATTAAACATTCATTTCTTATTGCAAAATATACAAATATACCCAAGGCCACATTTTTATAGTGTATCTCTTTGTATCATCCGTAAAGCAGGTGATAGAAAAAGGTCCCCAAGCGTGGCGGAAGGATATTTACCATCATCAACGCAATAAGGCAGATGAAATGTCGAAGATACACCTTTTGGCCATATTTTCTAATGATCTGAGACAATTTGCTATGTTTTATAGATTTGTTTTAAATAAAATGCCAGTACCAATCGAGATTATGAGAAATGAATGATATTAGGTTTGACGTCCGTCGTTAGAAATATATCATTGTCGTAATTAATAATGTCTTCGAGTCCGGGCCTTAAGCTCTTCAACATTTGCAACTAAACTGGCGGTGATTTTTTAAACATGCTTAATCATTATTTACTCGCATTCTAACCATATTTGTATGATTTTTTCTACCACATAATGGGTTATATTGAAGTTGACAGACGCCTAGGCATTCATCATCATTAGTGTGATAAAATTGAACACTAAATATATCCAGGGAAAACTGCTGATTAAAACATGTCAATGGAAGTAGGCCCATCATGCTATACAAATTATTTATTATAATCATTGGATGCCAAATAGGGTGATCCTCTGTTTCTCAGAAGTTTGTTTGACCAAATACATAAATGTTGCAATATCATAAATTTGATTCACGAAACAACGGCTGATGTCGCATGATACATTGTAGAGACACAAATGAAAGCTATAGCATGACACATTGTATGTGACACTCGATGACAAATGGCAGTGTGAGACACTATATGAGACACACCATGATACACCACTTTATACACATGCGACACTGCATGACTCAAGACACTGTATGAGGCACTTAATGACACACTGCATTATACACTTTATGCGACACTGCATGACTCAAGACACTGTATGAGATGACTCGAAACACTGTATGAGACACTAAATAACACTTCTTGATGCATTCTCACACTACTATACCCCCATACTGTATCCTGTATTCCTTTAAAAGAAGTACAGGCTACAGGGAAGTTGCAAATGGAGGACGTTTGTTTATTTCCATAGTTCTGAATGTATACTAGATTTTACACATATTCTAAGTGTTCTACTATACATTGTATAGATTCATCGAGCAGTTTGCAACGTATTATTACCAGAAAAGCCCAATGGACAAAGATAGAGAATACCCGCTCCATTTGCAACTTAACCGTACCCTGTATCATTTTTTAAATGTGGTCACGTGGTAGGGTAGTACGCTACATGACAATTAAAAATTCACTATGCATAATATCCAGTCTGTAATATCGTGGGCTTTCAATTAGAATTCTAGTTGAAAGCCCATGATAATATATAATATAATATGTATATGAGACACTAAGATGTTGTCACGTGTATTAGACACTGCGATACGCAATTCATCAGACACTGAAGGAGACGCTGAGACAATAGTCATCCAACAATAGTGACGTAGGATTCGTCAAAACCAATGGTGTTGATCAGTTGATTAACATGCAAGAAGTGGATCTCCGATCGCGAACCTTCGTATAGTTAGTAAGTTGTATAGACTCATACAGATCGTGAAATGACAAACTATTTGGGACATGTCTCGTAACAAAATGCCGATAAACTTGCAGATAATTCAATTGGCTGTGAAATTGTTTAATCATTCTCTTATAATCTAAGAGAGAATCGTCGCTCAATTAACTTGAAGAGGCCTTTAAGGAAGCTTTCTATTGTACATTAATTAACCCCAAGGCACTCTCAAAGGGCGATAATTCTAAAAGCTATGCATTTCTAATTGTTTGAATAATTGCAATAATTTCTGGCATATGCTGGGGTTTACAGGATTTAGGAAAATATATGAGGGGGGGGGGCACAAGAAACTTGGAAGAATCTTCTTGGCTGCTGCTGTAAATGCACTCTTCATCAATCCGTCGACAGGACCCCTAACTCGACTATTACCTCAAAGCAAAATACCAGTATAACCTATCAAATATTCACTAGACAATATTTCGTGATTGACAAAAAGCCTCCCGTTCGGGTTAATTTGCCTGACAACCCCATCACGATTGAGGGTATCATCTACTCGACTAGGGAGTTGGCGCATCTTAACATCTGACAATGATATAAAATTAAATAAAAGTTAATACAAAGACGGGCAACTGAACTGGATCGTAAACAAGTAGAACCTATAAAATTACTTGGAATTGAAAATGGGCCGTGGTTCCCTAAATGTGTATTGCCTTATTGTGTGTAGCAGATTATAATTTGAGATGCAAATGGACGACTGTTTCCCTGGGGCATACTTACATAGATTGAATGCATCTTAACTGGATTGACAATGTGCTCATATATTTCGATTAACTTCCTACCCAGTTTAATTACGGTTTCCAAGATCTGCAAATTCAGAACTGTCTGTCTTTGGTTGGATACTGGATGGTCGATCCATGTGAAGAACATTAGCTTTGAAATATTATGATTAAACCATTGAATTTGCAACATATTTTATAATATGATTTCAAGATTTTTTTATTCTGAGATTTGCTTAATATGCTCTCTAACTGTTTATGGAACTGTGGCGGCCGGGAAAGCCACAGAAGATGATAGGTAAAAGTACAACTACTGCATTGATTAGATTGGGACAGATCTAATTGAATGATTACTCTCTCCAAACCAAGTCTGGTCTTCATTAAACGATAATTATTAATATCCAAAGACAATGAATTCACCATAATCAGTCCTAAAGGCATTTAATGAAAGACATTTGAATATAAATCTGATATTAGTTTTGCATGGTCCCAAAGTGGTAGTGGGAATGGTTTATCGGAGAGCCTCGGGCGAGATGATGCATCACGGCGCACATAAAAATAAAAAACCGGTTTAGGCTTTCTGCAATGTCGATACGCCTGGTTGAAATATGGTTACAAATCCTGAGTTGCTCTCATTAATGTAAACACCTTTTAAACACCTTTCAACGAATACAGAGCAAACTTAGCCGCGAAATGCCAGACTACATAAACACAATGACAGAAGTAAGTCTCTGTTTTCTATTAGATCAATCTGCTACTTTCCCTGTCAACGATGGAGCTAAGTAGAAATAGAACCTGACATAGCCAGAGTCGGGGTGTATAGGTTATTAAGCTTTTGTGTCAATAACAAATCTGCTGGGAAAGTAGTGATCGTGATGTAACTGTATTTTTTAAACTTTTTTTTCTAAAATCAAAGTTATTTTAAGAAAATGACTGATTGTACACTTGGCAATAAATAATGTTTTACAAGTCGTTTGCCAAACAAGTATTACATGAGCCAATATGCTCCGAAGATTTGTCAACTTCAACCAACATCCTAGGATGAAGAAATGAATGGTTCTTCATCTTAGTCAGCATCTCATCATTCCACTAGGAGTCCTTTTCATTCAAAATTGTCATGATTTTTTGGGCTAGGGTTAGATACATGTAACCAAAATATCAACCACGTATATATTTCAAACGCGAGCGAGCCCTGAAAAAAAATTTGAACAATAACAATCGTTCAGAAAATAAATTAGAATACCATTTTGACAATTTGCTACATACTGTTATGTGATATTCTAAAAAGATTCATTCCAAAATAAAATACCAACTAATACAACTGAAAACGAACTACATTACTTAGCTACATTCCTCAGTTACCTTTGCTTAAAACACAGAACTTGAAGTCTTTACATTAAATGTTATTTATAAGGCAATTATAATGTTTCTGTCCGAATGTATGTTCCAGAAACACACAGATGGTCTCTTGATGGGATTCTTAAGACACCAGATCAAAACATACTTAATAGAAATGTTTCAAGGTGTGGGAACTACCAACGGTGTGTGGTAATTGTTATTTCGCCAGCGACTGGTGATTATAGAAAAGAACAAAGAGCGACATTAGATTTACCCCGTATAATCTATCAGAGACAGTTTTATATGTTTTATATGTCTCTGAATCTATGCATGCTTACATGTATGTCAAAAGTCAATGCAAACTCATGACCGTGAAATAAATGTCAGAAACATCATAACACCATGGAAAATCATCGCAAATCAAGTCAGCCAATCAATCATTCTCATTACAGATGTCTTTATTTCTGTTTTATGATTGTCTCAAAAGCATAGACCAAGTAAAGAGATCTCTTATAAGTTATAAATTGGTGTTTTCGACTCGATCTTTTTTATACATGTTCCCGGGCCTATGCTCAAAAGTGTTCGAAGATTGTTTAAAAATGTTTTAGTGGTTTTATGTTCCCTTTTAGCCTTCTCATTCTCATGTCGTTTATTGAGAATGTTATCTATTGTATTTTTAGATGGAAATGAAATTGAAATCTCCAGCTCTGTTACACCAAATGCTACAACTGGAACTAAAATGCCTTTACAGGCAGACATAAACACACTCTTATCTTAATAGTTCATTAATTAACATCTCTAATTAAGCAATGACATAATCAATTAAGGGACAATAAAGTGGGCTGAAACAAAACAGAAGCACTGCACAAAACACCAATTAGAATTCTGCGATTGCGTCTTTTCATCTTAATTTTGTTTTAGATATGTTGAAAACTGTTTATATTGAGAAGTGTCTGATGAAGTAGAATTGATTGATGTTTTGACGTTCCCACAGACAAATTGACTTCGATCTCTTTATACAATTAAGTAATGCTTGATTATACCAGTTGCAATTGATAAGTAGTTTTTGTTGCAAAACGTACCACATAACCCTCAAAGTGTCCATCTGCGAATTTTGTGAAGTGGCACTTCATCATAAATTGCAAAGTGAACGCTTTGATGAAATGATGAGAAAAACCAGTCGAGTTAAAGAGAGCACACACACATAGTGTGATAATTAATCAATTATCGCCCACTTCTGCTACCAATACAATGCCACCCTAATGCTGAAATATTTCTAATCTACGGCTCCTTACACATCATCGTCAGAACTTTAGCATCTCTGAACTCATTTATTGTTGTTTCGGGGAAAAGTTATGTGAAACCGTGTGTGCTTCAGTTTTAGTATTCAAGGAGGAAACGACGAAAACGTGAAAGCAATACGAGAACATCAAAGAAACACAAAACTGCACTTTATAAATTCAAAACGAACCTAAAACTTCATATGCGGGGAACTTAGTAAAGACAGAGCCGGGCCATATAAACAAAACATATGCCTTTAGATTGGTTCCCGTTACATATTTCTCTCAAATCAAGAGCTGCTGGAAAATATGTTTGAGATATAATTGCAAAATTGTTAGCAAAACAAATAGACTTTTTGCACGACCACCCTGAGGTGAATAAACATATACTTAAACTTCATGCCTTGTTACTATGTAAATGTGACAAGATCCAATATACCATTGTTTATAAGTGGTGACAGTCCATCTCAACACATAGCTTTTAAAGCCACGCGAAATATGTCATCGCCCGAATGATATCTAAAAATTGGCGCCAGGGTTCCCAAATTTCATGACACGACCAAAGATCATTTTAATCAATCTGAAATGTTTATATAATGTGCCAAATAATTGTGTCGACAATAACGTTCGTCTGGCCATATCTAAATATTTGGACGTTTTGATCAAACGAAAGAAATAATTCCTTTGGAAGGTTAACTAATGCAATCTGTTATAAAATGCATTTTAAATTAGTTTTACTATAGATAGCAAAAACCAATCATAAATATAACCAATAAAAAGGAAATAAAGATACATGACAACAAAGCAGACAACAGTTGTTAAATGAGAACGACCACGCCGACACGAACAAATAAGTCCAATAAAGAGTATCAAATGCCATCTTTTTCAGTAACGGAATGAAAATGTCACAACCAAAAATAAATGTGATCGTATCAACCTAATGCAAAGTAAAGTAAAGTATTTTTTGAACTCTACGAGCCCGGGTCTATGAGACGCACTCATTTCATTTGCAACTTCTCATTCCGCCACGCTTATCAGTTACCCTGCGCGCAGAGTCTAGTTCTGAACTACCGAGACGAAGCTCTCTTTTAAGAAGTGAAGTCGAACGAATGCAAAGGGTACTTATCAGTTTGATTTTCAATTAAATCTTCATACCACTGGAAATCCAAAATGTACTAGTTAGTACTGTAAAGTTTTCAAATTCCATCTGGAACATCGTGAACTATTGTAAAATTTCTAGCCTGGGTTCAATTTTAAGTCATATTCTAAAAACCCTCATGTTAATATTTCATGAATTGAAATGGTAACGGATTGTCTTGGATTGTATTAGCTATCCGGTGAAATACTACATCTAGTATTGGCTAGGGGTCGAAGGTAAGGGGTAGATGGTCCATTTAAGCTTACACTTTACTATTCAACTGTAAAAGTTGATTTTTTTTGTATTGATTATTCAACTATTTAGACTATTTAGAGGTAAGTGATTTGATGAATGGATAAGAACCATGTAAGATGTAATTTAGTTCAGCTTCAGTGTTCTGCATGTAACAGTCCTGGAGATACAGTATAGAGCAGTATAGACATTGGACATGGAGGAGTATTTGTAAGTTAGCTTGGCCCATTCTGATACTCATAGCATCTTTCTGTTTCACGCGAAACATGGGCTGAGAAGAAATGAGATGTCATGGTTTATCACGAGCTTAGCCAGGTTTAGCTTAATACTGCTGGTAGCAACACAAAATAATAAATTGTTTTATTTTAAAGAATACACAATGCATAGTAATAATAGAAAGGTATACACTTGTATAGTGTTTTCAAATGAGGTAAACTATCATAAACTGTCAATCGTCGTTTGTGCCAAACTGGTTTTTGATAGCTTACCAAGTGTCCATTCTTTAAAAAACAATAGAAAAGGAATGTATTTTCTTTTGTTACAACATATTCTTTAAAATAAACTGAAGTTCATAGTGTTGCTACCTAAGTGGGGTTAAAGAATAACTAGCAATTATATAATTTTGAATAGCGAACATATTAAAAGATGGCAGCCCTGACAGAACAAATTTTATTTTGTGACGATAGGCGAGGGATAGATGTTTGTTTTCTTTGAACACCTCTATCGACTGCAATTGGACTATTGGGTGATCCATTATACCTTTTTATATCTTGGAATGTCGGAAATTTACAGGAACGAAAACCTATTTTGTAAATGTTTGTTAATAGTGCAAATTATTGATATTTATGCAAATTATTGGAAGTATTATATTTATTAATGAACGTACTAATGAATTTATTATTGCAACGTGAACCTTATATTTAAGATTTTGATGTCAAAAGGGTTGGGAGTTGGGATCAAATATGAACTTTATTCAAGATTATCGATTTGTAAAAAATGTCCAAATTTAATAGTTTCCATCAACTTATCTCTATACTTTGTATAATAACAGACGTCATAATATATATTTCTATATTTTATTTGTAATATCAAGTGTTACGCTTACAGTTTTACACAATCAATACGTGTTAACAATCCAACGACAACATCAGTTAGTTTCAATATAAACAACTTATAAAAGATTTGATTATAATCGAGATCTAGTCAAGGATATCCTCGTCAATGACCAGCATCAATGTATTGGATATCACTCAATACTGCACAATGTACCTTTATAACATCTTGAACAAGGCTGATGTATTTTTTTCTAATCTCAAAATCTATCCACTAATTTATACTGCATTATCTCGTTGCAAAAGATGATACTCAAACTTCAACTCATCATTTGTGCATAGATTTTTACATCAGCTACAGTCCCAATACTAATTGAGACAAAACCTGATCCATTAAATCGTGATAAATCTCAAAATTACGCTCATTCTTAACATCGTTTACTCATTCAGTGTATCACCAGATCACACAGCCCCAAAGTCAATTGAGCCAACGTCACTCATTTACATGTACCATTATCTCACTGGCCATGGTTTCTTAGGCCTGTGTGCCAGACTGAATTTAAAATATCAAGTTGAGAGTTGTACAATCAAATACAATTATTAAACAATATATATAAATCAAATACATGTGTGATATATATTGTATGAATATATAGACAATTGAAATTATATCAAAATATAAAACTGCCTTTAATCATGACTAATATACAACTATAATGAACATCGTAGAAAACATTTTCACTCTGATAACACTCAAACCAGAATTATTTGTTTTTGGTTATATGATTTTAAATTGAGGTCATCTAAAATATGTTTCATTGACGATCAAGTCCCAAGGGGGTATTATCAGATAATAGTGTAAAACTGTTCACTCTAGGCTGGATAAATTGATTTTAAGAAAAGTCTAGACATTGATGTTTCATAAAATGTTCATTATAATTAGCATTTTCCCTGTGCTGTCCTTTGCTTCATCAGCATTGTTTATGGAATCATTCAGTATGTACAAACTTTCTTGAAATCTCCTTTTTACACAACAAAATGCTGCTTTTTCAGAATGTATAGAATGGCTTTGTGCACATCGTCGGCAAAATGCCTAGGTATGCAAAAGTCTGGCCTCTTTTCAATGTCTCTGTGGACCTGATGCATGCTTTTAGCTTCACCGTTGAAGTTATTTTTAGTTGGTTTATATACACCGGTACCCACGAGGATACCTTCACAGTCAAGAACAGTTTGTTCATCAAAATCTGCCTCTGGTGGAATTTGTCTTGACATGGGGGCTATATAGCCATTTGTTGTTTTAGATGTGTTCATATTTGAGTTTACATTGTCCAATACATCACCATTCACGTAGTTTGAGTTACTTGTCTTCCTAATATGGTGGATGTACTGGTTGTACATGTTTGCACCGAATATGTCAACAAGTGGGTTATCCCTGTAAGAACAATAGTAGAGGGTTATATTAGGTACATCTTCGAGATAATAGTTATCTAGACACAGGGTGACATCTTTTTTGTTTATCTTGACGACTTTTTGACTTTGAGGTATGATGTTTGCTTTGTGAAGTACAATACTGTATTGAAACTTGGTTACTAGTCTATTCTATTGGTGAATATAATTTATTTTGTATTTTTTTGTAATTTCCTTGTCCTCCAATGGTGCAATCGTTGTGCTTTATAGTTCATTCAAGTTCTAATCAAATACTTTCAAAAAGTTCAACTTACCCAATGAAGTAGAGTTTCTCGATCGGTCTTGTAATTCCAAGTGCTTTAGCGTGTTGCTGGATGACATGCTCAGCATATCTGAATGTCAGTTCACAAGGTTTACCAACTAAGGCTTTATACTGCAATTCATGGCCTGTGATTTTCTGAAATAACATCAATTTTATCCTTCATTTAATGAATGCCAGAAAAAATGCCTGTTTTGTTATATATCTAAAGGAATCTAAATGAACAATATATAAGGTTGTATTTTTCAATGCTGCCGTCCAATGCATTCTTGTTGAATTGCTTAAACATTTACCTTATAAAGAGCTTCAAGGCACACGAGGAAGGATCCGTTGCCGAATCTAGGCATACATGCCTCTGCCATAAACACCAAGTCCATGTTTGCAGCAAGTATTGGAAGCTGTTCCTCTGGCGATGGGATTTTATCAGATGCGTGTGTTGGGAGGCCGTTTGTGAGTATTAGGTCAATCAGTAGTTGGAGGTTTGATTCCCACCTGTTTGGTTCTCCAAACACTACCACAGCTGGAAAATACGAGGGACAAAACATGTATATGCTGTTGATTGAAAGTTACTACTCAAAAATATAGATATGATGAACAATACATGTAGGATATATTTACAGCATTGTGCCTATTTCTATCTTGTTTTATATATTTAGAATTGCTAATATATTTTGTGAATTAATACTGTATCTTACCATCTATTTTAGGGAACTCCTTCTCTATGTATCCCTGGGCCACCTTTCTCCTGTTGGCGTGATCGACCATGTCAAGCAGTGGGTAGGCTTCTTTGACATCATCAATTGAACATGTATTTTTAAATCCAAGTCTTCAACAGTTAAGAAAAAGAAACTATTTCATGGTTTTATGCTACCGAGCTTTCATATGTCATTATATAAATTACTTAACATGATTTGTATGATTTATCAAGTTTTTTGATGCTCCTTATGTATTGTCAGTTAGTGTGTTTATTTTTTGTATTTCGAAAAGGATACTCTTTTGCGATGTCATGAATATGACCTTGACCAACAACAAGAACGTGTTTGTCGTGGTACTTATGGAAGACCGACAGTGGACTCTGAGCATGCATCATATACTCTGGTTTTATCTGAAAAACATTGGTTTACATTTGCGAATTAATCAACAATCAGTAGTTCAACAATAGTTATTGCATAATCTCTAAGAAATGAGTCAAAGTTATAAGGTCACACATGCCAAACAATAGTACAGCTATCTCTGAATTTTGAACATTGATTACATAACGCAGACTACGTAGACTGCTCAAAATTTGTTATTAAAATAAATATGTAAATCAACCCTAGTACAATTTAAACGCTAAAGCGTAGTATATCTTAATTGAAAATATTCGGAATAAAATTAGTATTTACCTCTAAGTCCAGCCAGTTTGAAATCTGCCTAGCTTTGTCAGCTGTCCTGTTGCAGGCATTTGTGACGAAAGCAATAGGTACTTTCAGGTTGTTCTGTTCATCACATAATTCTTTTATCATACGCTTTGCTGGCTCTAAGGCTTGTGTGCCACGCGCTATAACACCATCCACGTCAAATAGTATGCCAAAATCGGCCTGAAAATACAGAGCAACATTTTGCTTTTTATAATAAGATGTACGAAAAATGTTCATTAATGTAAATTATTTTATAATCAACATCCATTTACAGCTGTGTTGTACCGATGATTGTATCACAAAATACCTCTTTCAAATTTTTGCATTCCATTCTATTAATGTCCGTATATGCTCCTATATCAAATGTACACCATCTTCCTGAACACCTAATCCACTAAGTGAACCTAAGTCAGACCATGGCCTGCCATGTGAGGCCCCTTGAGAACAATAGATAACAGCCCCGGAACATGAGGCAAACAGAGGGTCCATTAGTTATCACACACAACTGTCAACTTCTTCAAGGTCAAACATGACAAGAGAACTAAGAACAATGATTGCATTCCTCTTGACCACTGATATTATGATAAAAGAATAAATGGCAAAACAAGTCTTCGATGCGACCTTTAAAATAATGGATGTAGATGGTCAAAAAAGTTCCAATGGACTTTACCCTTTAAATTAGAAGACACGTTCACGCTGCGCGTAGTCTTATATGGGATATAATTTTGTATGGAGGTAGATCAGACATTCTTGATCAAAATTAAGAAAATCGTGAAAATGTGAAGTGGCACCGATTCGAGCTGTAAAGTGCAGCATAACATGAAGTGTTTACAGTTTGTCAAAAGTACCTAGATACGATGAATTATTGCCAATGTCAATGTATCTTGCGAACAGCTGTTTCAGTACAACAACTTGTTCTAGATCTATTATCCCTTTCATTTAAAAACAAAACAAGTTTTCGATCAAACAGTACGTATGCACTTAATTTCATGTCATCTGTTTTATCCAGGCCATCATGTGAATGAACATTTATTAATAAGATAAGTCCCAGATGCGGGTATTGCCCCTGTTGCTGTACTTTAGAGTAGATTGCAAGCAACAGTTCTGCAAAAGGTTCAACCTTTGATACAGACTCAAAGGGTAAAGATAATGACCATAGGATGCTCAGAACTAAATATTAGCATTGGACATTTTACCTTGATGCACTTTTTAGTGTTCAGGTCATCGTTCTCCTTGAAATTATCTATTGCAATTTAAGGTAAAATAGTTTCTAAGTGAAGGTCTAATTGATGACTCACGAGCATTAATGCTATCAGTGTAAAGCATCTTCGAATACAAGGTTTACAAACCATGTAAATCAATATTAGATGAACGCCCAATCATCACAAGAAGGAAGAACAACTATTACATAAGAATTGCATAATATTGCAACCAAATATCCGATTCCAGGGACGGTAATGCATACTAATCAGCATTACAGTGTGTAACATTATGTAAGGTCCAGTAAACGATCGAATAAGCAAATGCAAGCGTATTGCATAACATCAACGATAGGAAAATTACATGATACCTTAAACTCTATGACCCTGCACCACTATGGATGTGAGCAAGAACCAGAAACAACAGCTGGTGTGAGTAAACACGATGCAAGATAATTGATGGTATAAGATTCCATGCTCTTGGTCTGGTTTGCACCAGTTGCCACAGATACATGAAGTAAACAAAAGTTGCTGACCTCGAACATTAATCCTAATATCCTGTCAGAAGATGTTACTCCAAAAACGATATAACTGTTCCAAAATAAACCGTATGAATATGTTTTATGTTTCAAACTATATATTTGCACTCGAGTAAGAATTTAGGTCGATGGAATCATAATTTCAAATTTCTCAGTGCACATGATAAAAATTAATTATATTACAAATACTGGTAACAAAAATATAATCTACTATTTTAGGTAACACTTTTTAGATGAATTCTAATGTCCAATGATTATTCCTTGGACCTTGAGTTGTAAAGTTGCAATATTTTGTGTGCTTAGCCAATGTTTCATGTTCATATATCAATATCTAAACGGGTAAAACTAATATAGATATTATGATATCAATTGTTGATGTATGTACTTCTATGTATCTCTTTAACAAATCTGTACAAATTTAAATGCAAAACTAAAGTGATAATAAAAGTCATGACATAATTTCATGCAACCATAGTCCATCCCAAAACTATTGTAACAGAAAAAACAAATACTTACTTTTGTATTTGATGGCAGTCGGTTGAAATTCTGAATGTCTTGTTCAATACCCATCTTCACTACCTTACGTATAATCTTCTGTAATCTCTGCAAAACAAGAAATACAGCAAATCAAACTGAGGTCTTTCCAATGATTAATTACCCTTTGCATTAGTTCAACTGCACTTCTTAAAAGAGAGCTTCGTCTTATAACAGGGTAATGTTTTCTGAAGTTTCATTAACATTTTGATCTAAATTTTGCAGTGCATATTCCTGATTATAGCCATCGTCATTAATGCATGTAGCCAGGTTTAAAATGTTTTAATTAACTCCTTTATTGAAATGCAAGTACCCAAAGCATTCTTTTTACTGCTTTAAAATCTCCAAACTCATATAAATCAGTGAAGTAAAAGCTCGTTCGCTTACCTAGTGTAAAATCGTTATTTCACCAAGTTGTGTTGCGTTCACTTTTATCTCGTAATTCTCCAAGCAGTTGCTGTATCTGTAATAGCTGTGTATCGTTTTCAATGTTCGTTTGTTCTGAAGTGATATGAGTTCAGCTTCTTCTTTTATAGAACGATGGGAGATGCGCCATGAGCGAACACGTGAACACTCAACGCTGATTGGTTGAACTAGTAAAAAACCGAACAAATATGTTTATACTCTCTAGTAGTACACCGTATCGTCCAGGATTTTTTGTTTATCACATAAACAAAGGTGAATATTTCAGATGATCTAGAGGCACAAGGTTAAGATAAGAGCAAATATTGACAAATTAGCTTCCAAAATCTATTCCACCTGGACTTCCTGCTCACCCTGTTTTAAGACATGTTACTGGTTAGTGCACACCCCCTCCCCTTATATTACCCATTGTATGTTTGCATGGGAGGGACGCTTATTAGGCACAGTTTTGATGTTAAATGGCTTGTTAAGTTAATCTTTCAGAATTAGAAAGTACAATCATGAATGGCAACATTACATTGCATCGAACTTAAGTATTGGGATGGTGGGTAGGACTAAGAGTCATAGCATCCCGCATAGCATCCCCCCCTTGGGCATAGCTGTCAAACATAAGAACTAGATGTTGGCTGTTTACAGTAATACCTATCCCTGAGTAGCTCCCATTCTAGTTTAATTCAAACCTCAACATCAAATTCTGAAAATAAGACTGTAGTTAGTGGTAATGTGTGAAGGTACCTCGGGCAGTAGAGTTTATGTACCTGACTCTCTACTGTGTTTTTAGGTTTAACAATGACTTTGCACACAAAATGCGGCAATTTTACAACTGAAGACACAAGGGTTAATAACTAGTATTGGTCATAAAATAAAATTAGATAAAAATCACCACCAACCCATCGGATCCTAACCCATCTTAACTCTTATCAATATTGATTGTGACTTGAAGGACACATTATAATTAGGTATTCAATCGATACTGTATCTGATCCTTGAACGATTGAGTAGTACTGACATTTTACATTCGCCGAGTTCAATGCCCTCATAGAAGACTATTTCGACTTTCATACTGATAGTGTCGTTCTGGCATCTTAAAGGCAATGGCAATGACTGAAGAAACGTCAAGAGGAAAGAAAACAAGTACAATATTTTGGCTTCAAGAACTCCCGCAAGAACGACTATATCTACTCGTTTTATACCTGCCCGGCTGGTTGTTGGTGTTGGTGGTGATTCGGGCGTATAAATAAAACCTGGATGAAATACGATAACCCGGCAGGTTTAAACCCCGATTTAAAACAAGGTCTCAAATGGACTAGATGTATTCCATGTCCACTACATCGAAAACATTTTCTGAAAAAAAGTAAACAACTGGTTAACAGACCTTGAGTGCTGGCGATAATCCATCACCTAAACGTGATATAAAAGTTTACAAGTACTAGTACCATATATCAAGTTTAACAGCTTACAAGGCCGGGTGGAATATAGGTTTATGGACCGCTGGAATATAATTCCGCGTTGTCCGATAATTAGTTCAATAAGAGTCATGGAGAAATATACTTTATCTTTAATTTTGCTGTCATATAATAGTATATGTTACAAACAGTAGATACTCCTGTACCATGATTAACAATAGAACGAAGAAAAGACAGAGATGAGAAACATAGCCTTGTGCATCAAATGGTGTCTTTATCATCATACGTTCCAGTGGCGTACCAAGGATTTTTCAACATCTAAAAAACAAAAAAATCTCCGTCATCATAGCTTGCATTTGAAGCCTAGCTTCCCCCTCTCTTTCATTAAAACAGAGAAAATGGCCATTTGTTCAGCACAGTGACAAAATCCATTGAGAAAAGAGGGGTGTGGTCACCTCCTCCCCTTGGTACATCCCGTGTTTTAACTAGCCCTATTTAAATAGGGGCGAGATTCTGATGTTTACGCACAAATTAAACGAGTATATTGGAAGAGAAGGGGTGGTGTTTCATAGTTGTCCACCCCACCCCCTTAGTTAAGATCCTAGTGCCCTCGTTAATAGTTACAACAAACACAAAACCCAGGACGCCAAACAGCTGAAAAGTGCAAATATCTCTTAAAGCAAATGGTGGCCTCGCAGGATTTCCGAAATATATCCTGGACACATTAATTATAAAACAAGATAACCCAGTTAACGGTACGCATAGTTCTGGGCTTCTTGTGGCCGAGTACAGCATTAACATAACATAGTACTGAACCACTTAACCGGATAGAAAGTATCAACATTACTAACCTTGAAAAATGGGGTGAATCAACATAAACAGCTGGTTATATGCATAGTAGTAAATCTGTCCGATAGCTAGGTATACACTGCGTTGCACTTTGCAGTCGTATATCAAAGGTAAAGAGGTTACAACAACCGTGGGGGATGTGGCTTATATACAAATATTGGAGAGATAGCAAGAAAGAAGCAAATTTTCCATGGGGAGGGAAGAACAATAATTTTCTCACATCTATTTTTTTAGTTTTAATCAGAAGGTATCTGATCAGTGATTAAAAAGGAGATACCATGAGTTTTATTAAAATGGGCGTTTTTGTAGGAAGGGACGGGGCGTCTTCAAGCCAATCAAGGGCTTTGAAATCGCATGTAGCCTTGCTATGGACACCTCCCCTATTTACTTCATCACCACTACCGCTTATGGAGAGTTGTGTAGTGGGTGGGGGTCACAATGGCTTGTAGCTTGACGAATTACATGTGCCAGGTGTTTTCCTGTTTCTTGCTCACATCCTGTCATATTTGCACCCATTTGTTTGAGTCGACATTTGAACACACCTTAAGTTTTGCATGTATTCCAGAGATGAGTGTTCAAATCCGGAAACAAGAGCAATACTACCAGGTGCAGAATGTAAATGATATTTAAACGTATCAGCCAAAATAATGTAGATTTTAGTTATTTTAGCCGAATATACATGCAATCCCTGGAGATTAATCAGAAATGGCAACTCCACGGATTGGCAAACCCCAAAGAACAAAATATATTTTTCATTATTTTTGATTAAGAAGTACTTATTCTTAAGCAATTATGATATTGAAGCAACCCTATAAATCCTCCATTGGAATGTATAACTCGGACAGTCGTATCAGGGGAGCCATCTTGAATTTCGCCTGAGACTAAAATGTACATTAACATTATTAGAGTAAGTATGTTAGTCTCAGATTGAACAATGCAAGAAACTGAAAGGGGGTATCACAAGTCAATCGTGGTAAGTATACGGAGCTTGCGATAATGGACCGATATAGTGTAAAAAGTGTTAAGTGAACTTTGAATGTCGATCACCAATAACGTTGTTAACAGTTTCTCTTCATTGCTCTTATCAATTAATGATCCATTTGTGTGTTTGGAAAATCTACAAATATTTTGTGTAATTTTTGACCACGTAAAATTTCTTCATTTGCCCCCTGATGTCCAACAGAGTGACAGAGTACAAATGAACTGGTTCCGAATTCGCGCAACATTATTATCTATATACCTTCGACTTGAATATACAAATATAGTTTTAGAATTACCGACTAGTATAAAACTAGTTAATAACTAGACTGCGATCAGGGTTATATATTACACGCCATCGTAAATAGCCGATGTGGATCTTGATTAACTAGATTTTACAAGTGACATTTATTGTAAATTATGTCTCGCAAAGTGCATAATTATTAATAACTTTTAAATGTTCAATAATATTAAACATGAGTACTGGTAAAGTTTATCATTATAGAACGGGTCAAAACAATTTGTATTTTTTAATATGCTTGGTGACTCAAGCAAATTATAATTGAGATTGGTTATTGAGATTGATTTATGTAAGAGTAATACATTTAAAACAGTTATAGGTATAAACGTTTTGGTTTGACTTTTTGTTGATAAAATAGTATAAATTGTAATTGATAAAAAGAGGTCAAAACGATAGTAAAGTCCACTATGAAGTAGTTCAAGGATCGGAGCTGACTTTATATCTATCATGATCATGGAACGTGAAAATTCTTGCCAATGCATGCATACAGCGCATGCCTTTTAAGGCGAAAATTACGTCATTCACTTTTTATTTAAAATAAACTGTTGTCAGAACTTTTCCAACATGCTTCATTCCATGAAAATAGAGCCAAAAATAGCACCAAAAATTTTATTTTGAAAGAAAATTCACTGTTTTTCACAGAATGTCAAAAAAGTTCACCTCCTAGGTCACATTGACCTCGATTTGACATTTGTGGACCTACTTTTTCTAAAAAACAAATACTTTTCTGAAGAAGCTAATTGAACAAGGTTTACAACAATACCAGCATTATTGAAATCAGCTAGACGAGTAATAAAAAATCACAAAAGGGGCCAAAATGACCCCTCCCCTTGTAAGACTTTGTGTTAAAAAAGGTTGCAGACATTTTCTCCATGGATCTTGAATAGAGATCCTATTCCCATTAATATGTAAATTTGGACAAAATCTGTCATCCGGAATTAAAGTAATAGGAAAGTATAGGGGCTATTTTGAATCCTGCGGACATTTCGAAAATTTCTTCTTGTCTCTAAGACAACCAAATATGTTATGTGAACCAAATATATCAAATGGCATTTTTACAAAAAATGGCGGCCTTTTTAATTCAGCAGACATTTTAAATTCATCAGCCATCTTGAATATTTCTCCTGGAGAATCTGAACCAAAGTCTGACAAAGGGAGTTATTTGAGTATTTATTTTTATGAACTGATGTTGGAAATTCCTTCTAAAAGAGGGGCTAGAATTTGGATAGGATGAGATAACTGGTTTAGGTTATCAAAAATTACATTTTTCATAAAAAATGGTGGACATTTCAAGTTTTAGTTGTCATCTTGAAGATTTGAACTAAAATATTATTTTATTTACGAAGAATGGCGCCCTTTAGAAAAGAAAAGAGCGGTCATTTTGAAAGAAATTCTCGATCAGAGTTTATTTCCCCATTACAGCATTATAGTCCATTTGTCACCCCTATACATCCAATAGTGAACCTAGAAATTGTTAAAAGTACGATGTTTTATGGTCGATTTATGATAATAAGGATTTTCTGAAGTGATTTAACTGGGTTGCCGAAAAAGTTTGTTTGGGGAAAAAATTATATAGGCTGATTAGGGAGGGGTGCAATCGCGTTGACTATTGACTTAGTGTTTGGATACCACCATATACCTGGTATGTTACCATGGTAATAGATACAAAAATTTTCCCCAAAGTTATTTTTTTGGCAACCCAGCTAAATCACTCCAATAATCCCTAATGATAGTATTTACGCAGAAAAACATCATACTTTTAAATATTTATACGTTCGGAAAATGACAAATGGACTATTAGGCGTGAGTCTCTAAAATTTGAACAAAATCCGTCAACTGGTAATAGAGTTATCGCTCAGACAGGACAGACGGACCTTTCTCGAACTTAGTTGGGTGAGGTAAAATGTTGCATTTAGTTTGCGTAATAATAACTATTTGATATAGTGGTTTTGCAATCTATAATACATATGTTTCTAGCCCGGCTATTATAGTCTT